CAGGTGGTATCCTGGCACAAATCGAGGGGTATATAGCTTCCATTTCCATTATTTCCAGGGATCTTTCTAGAAAACAATAATTTCTGGGGAAATGGCGATGGGTTTTTGAAAAGAATGGCTGAAAAGAATTGGAATCAACCCCTAGAACAAAGCATGTCCGATGCGGGACCTGGCTGGATTTCAACGTGGATGGTTTACAACCATAGGTGTCAAGCTGGATTTCCCCGAATCAAAAGTTGATCAACTTGCTGGTGTTTTGTTTCTTGAGACAATCGCCACTTTTGGAGCTTCCAAACAGGGAAATGCAGGAAACAATGAACCAGGAATCGCCATCTATTTTCTGCCACAACAGACATCAATCCTCTTGCTGGTGGTTTGGAGCCTGGTAATTAGTTTGCTGGTTAAGACGGGGCTTCCCATAAACCCTCGAGAACCCTGCGGTTGGATCCAAATCCAAGCACCAATCTACACCACCGAATAAGGACTACCTCAAACTAGGCCAAGCCTTTGTGGCCAACCTTGGAGTGTTGCTTTAGGTTTTACATCCTTGGTTTCGGAATGTTTGCAGGCCTCTGTACTTGTGCTAGATGTTTTAGTAAGTGTTGCCGGCTCTACACAGAACATGGAAGTCATGGGCACCCCGTTTGCCTGTGTCGAGTCTTCGTGGCACTTTGTGGTTTGGATTGGATTGCTATTCTGGGTTTTCTCCCGGATATTCTGGGCCCAAATTCGTTGCTGGATCCGACCCCCTGCAAAAAGTGCTTTACTTTTTTGGGGGGGTTTAGTGGAAAACCCGACTTGATATCCCAAAAAGTTAAAGTCTAAAGATCCAACCCAATAGCAGTCAAGAATTGTTGTCGGCTTTCTTTTTGGCTTCCCTTTTCACGGCACCAAACAAACGTACCCTCACGTCCACCCGCTTGTGGCTCCTTCTCTGAGGAGAGCTGCTCCCTAGGCGACTCGGCTTCAAAAAGACTAGGAGCTGCGCCCCCCCCCCAAAAAAAAAAAAAAACAGAAAGAAAGAACTGGGCTGTCCTCAGATCCCCCGCTAAAAGTTTAACTTTTAGTGGCTTAAATGGAAATCCCCTCTAAACACTAAAAGTCTAAAAAGCTAAGGGGATGGCTGGGAACCATCAAGAGAAGAACTTGAGGATCCCCTGAGAAAAACCAAAAAAAAAAAGCTACAACTACACGTCTTTACCAAACACAGCAACAACTACACAAGCCCCCGGAACAAAATCTGGCGATTTCCGAGCAGTCGGCAGAGCTTCCGCATGCTGGGCATCTTTGAAGGCCACCTCCGCCTGCGGATTCCATCGCGTTGTTTTTATTTTTATTTTTTTGTTTCCCCCGGGACCAATGAGGCCATCTGCTTTATGTTGACCCCATAGCAGTTGATTTTTGTGAGAAAACCTAGGGATAGACCCACAAGGGGCCAAAGAGAAACCTCTCCACAGGTTAGGTTCCAGGACTAAAAGGGACCCAACAATACTCATCAACAAATTCCAGCTTATTAATAGGGATGTCCCTGGGTGAAATGTGGCTTTTGGAGGGGAACACCCTAACCCTACTAATAAACGGGGTTGATTAATAGAGCGGTCAACATTAAGCGGTTTGCCGGTGAAGCACGATTACGTAACCAGGGGTCTCGTTCAAAACTATATTTTATTTGGGGCAGACAAAGTATGACCCAGAATCAGAACATATGTTTGTTTGTGTACTCCAGATGCGGGCCAAGAGTCAATTTCAAAAAGCTGTCCAAATTTGATTAACAACGTTTAGTCGGGAGTTCAGTAGGAAGCTAGTTCTCCCAGTGGTTAAAGAGGCAGACTGCTCACTTGGGAACCCATTTACCGCTTTCATACATAACAACCCATTTATATGTTTGCTTCCGTGAGCTATTCTCAGGATAAAAGGTCCAAACGGGCCAAACGTCTTTTTTGGAGGGTCCCCCAGTTTTTGTGGCCTCAAAGGGAAACCTGAAGGAACACCCCTTGCGCCGTGTTTGAGGTCACACCCCTTAAAAGGCACGCCCAAAAGTGGTCAAAACAGCATCAAGTCAAGCCCCGAGAATCGAACATTTCGGCCGCGGAAATCGCCGGGTTTTTCCCGCAATTCATATTCCATTTGCTGAAATGTATGTTTCATTTTTCGATTGGTGGCTGGGAACTGTGAAGTTGTACAAGAGCCTCCTGTTGGAGGATTTTTTGTCTTTGCCCCGCCCCCGCTTCCTGAGGTCAGCAAAATGGGACTGATGAATTTCAACCCTTCCTCGGGGGAACCCGTTCAGTTCCTCCCCCAACGAAGCGGGCCCTTTTGGCCTGATGGGTCTCATCCTTCTTCTGCAGCAGATCCTGGTAGATCTTTTCTCTTGCGGAGACCAAGGCCTGCATCTCCACATTGTAGAGCGTCTCCTCGCATGCGATTTCGCAGGCAGGCTGTCCGAAAGAGATTCAGTGTCTTTTGTTTCACATTCTGCAACGTCATAACTTGCAGGTTCTCAGCAGGGAATGAGGGAATGACCCCTTTTTAACCATCCTCTATGGCTTCTTTTAATTAAGAGCATCTCCTTCCGGTTCATTCCCAGAACCGGAAGGTCATCCCCTACCAATCGCACCAACAAGATAAAATCATGAGTAACGATTCTCCCTCTTCACGCCTGATTCTTGTCTAGGTCCTCCAGTAGAGAGGTTAGAATAAGAATACCTGATGTTTCTTCTGGGTCTATTTTAGTAGGGCAGGCCTCCCCCAAAAAAAGGGTAAAAGGGCACCTAGCTAGGGGACCTAGTTGCGGCCAGAACCACAAGCAAAAGATCGCCGCCTCAAGTACCTCGCGCTTTGGCCATACTTCTGTTTAAACATGCTGAGACCAGTTGTCCAAACAGGCTGTGGGTCAAAATATGTACCCAAAATGGAATCCTGGTAACCCCATTCTTTCCAAGGATCCTTCTTTCTAGAAAACCCCAAACACCCTGGGGAAATGGCTGGTTTTTGAAAAGAACGATGACTGAAAAGAATGAGGAATCAACCCCTACAATGGGACTTGACCTCCTTTAACATCCAAAAAACATCCTCAAAGTGCACTTGGACCCTTGGGTAGTCTTCCCCCTCTCCCTCCCAGTTGTTCCTCCTCTGACACAGAAAGCATTGCCTAGGTCCTCCTTAGAATAAGGGTACCAACTTTTTTTCTGTAGTCTATTTTAGTAGCGGAACCCTGCCCCCCAAAAAAGCAAAAAGGGCACAATCCTGGTGGACCTAGTTGGCCCTCTCTGGGAACCTGTCCGGCCCTCCTTCTCCAGCAACACTTTCGCCGCGGATTTGCGCACCTCGGCGAAAATATATAATCGAGTCGTAGAGGGGCGGGGCCAAGGGCCGACAAAAACATCCGCTTAGCTCCCTGTACTGCAATCACACTGAATATTCTCCAAATGTGGGTGGATATTTTACGTGCATGAAGGGCACAGGGTCTGGGCATGTGTCAAAATAGGGTCCGAGACCCGGAAATGGGTGTTAATGTCCGGTACCAAGGCTGAACAGGTTCCAACTCTGAAAAACACATACACCCTTTTCGGGACCCCGAAAGCCCGAAAACAGCAGCATCTCGCCAGGTCCGGTTTCCCCCACAAAAACCATGCACAGGGACCCATCCGGAGACTTCTTTCCATAGGTGGTTCATCTGCCATTCGCAACCAAAAACAACAAGCAAACAGTCCCGGTGAAAGGCAGTGTATGTGAAGAACCACGGGCGGTCTACCGCCCCTTGGTGCTCACAGTGCAACGCTTCCGTCGCAAAACGGGGCTGAGTCCTTTTTTTTGAGGGTCCCCCCGTTTTGGCGGCGCAAAATGGACAGCAAAAGGCAAAGCGAAGCCGCTTTGGGCAGTCCCCCAGAAAAGACCCACCATCTTGGCTGCAAAATGGACACGATTTGGGCAGTCCCCCCAGAGAAAGACACGCCCCCCAAACCACCCGCATGATCGGCGCTTTGGCCGCTGGGAGGTCAGAGAGAGCCCAAGACGAAGAGTTCGCTTGGGCCTCTTTGCCACGGGTCCCTTGATCCCTTCTCCCCCCCCAACAAAAAGAAGGAGAACACCGAGGGGGGGGAAGGAAGGAGCAAAAGGCCAAACAAAGAGTTGCCAAGAACCAGGTAGGGGTGGATTCCTCTTCCATGCGTTTCAGCCATGTTCAAAAGCCAACCAACTGCGCGGGGGCCTTGGTGTGCAGGAAAGTGGTCTCAAGTGCGGTGGATGGACCAGATCCGTTCGCACGACTATTTGTTGGTATTTACAGGGGAATGATCATTGCAGGGTTTCCTAGGTGCAGAAATGCGTCCATCCACAGTACTATAGATTTACCAGAAACCAAAGTGCCATGGGACAGCTGTGCCGAGCAAATCAGCCCACAAACGACAACGCTCCGTTCCCAGAAGCTCCCTGTAGATAACAGAGGCCGACATTTGCCTCTCACCAAAACATCTCCAAATGTGGGTCCTTTTGAGGTTGCTTTAACTCGGTTGCTTTCTGCTCCCCTACTAAAAGTTTGACTTTTAGTGGCCCACTAGTTGGCACAAAGTTAAAGTCCTAACATCCAAGCAAAATGCACCCAAGTTAACCTCAAACAAAATCAAAAACAGCATTCTGCCGCCCCCCGCCCCCCTTTCACAACCCATGGTGCCGTCGGCCGAAAGCGGACCCCGCCTGCTCCAGCTGGTTTTGCAGTTCCGCCACCTCCGCTTCTCGCTGCGCCGTCAGCTCCTCAAAGGAACCGGAGGAGGATGCCCGTGGTTTAGGTGGAGTTGCATGCGAATTCGGCCAACAATGATCTCACTTCCTGAGTTCTCTGAACTTTAGACTTTTTGAAGACCGTTTTAGTGGCAAAAAACAAAAATGGACTTTTTGTTGGCCCATCCACTCAGGAAGTGAGTAATCAGGTTACCAAGGATGTAAACCTAAAGAAACACTCCAAGGTTGGCCGCAAAAGTGTGGCCTAGTTTTAGGTATCCCTACTTTGGTGCTTCGGATTTGGATTGAACTCCGGGGTTCTTGCAAAGGGTTCAAACGGGACCCCCCCCCCCAGCCTGCCCATCAAAAAAACCACCCATCCAAACCACGAATTGGCGGGAAGCTGAAGTAACAGTAGTTCAATGCCAAAGGACCCAGAAATAAAAGGTTAACCTTTTGGGGCCATGACTAAAACTAGACCAAAAAGGAAAAACCAAAAGGTCAAAAGGTCGGCTTTGGGCAACTGAGAAAAACAATGGTAATCTAGCATCCAACAATTAAACAATGGGTTGAAGCGAAAATTATTGAACAAGACTGTGTTTGTGTTGCCTTGTTCAAAAGAGAAATCTTGAAATCTGCGGCCAGGTGGGATCCCAAATCCTCCGCCAATGAAACACCACGACAACAAGGAAACCATCATCTCGCACAAGAACTAAGGATTGGTTTAGAACAACCCGATTGACAAGGTCTATGTTGAGTCTGTGCGCCCTCACTATTGCCTAACTATCAAGTAGAGCCCCATTATCTTTTTTTGCAGGATCAATGTCCTCATCCCTAGTGGACGTACCATGTGGGTTTGTCTCGACCTTGGGGTAGTGGGCACCCCAAATCATAAACCCATCCCACTAACAGGGGCATGCACCCAGGTGATCCGGACTCCCACTTAAAGGGGACCCCCCCATGGAAAAGGGGACCAGGGGTTCCACTTCGATCCGGGGTTGACAGTACCCCCAATCTTGCAAGCTTCCCCCCTGAGACAAGCCCACCATGGGTTTGTTTCAACATTGGAGTACCCCCAAAAACATAGGTGTTTTTTTGGGGGGGAAAACTGATGGCCCTGGTTGGATTTGAATATGAAGCACATCCAGTGCCGTCTGGTTCTAAGCAAACTGACAAAACTGACCGAACTGATCAATCTCACCAAACTCACCAAACTCGTTTCCCGGAAACCTCGACGCCCTTTGCAACCCCCCCCCCCCCCCCCCCGCAATTCCCCGCTTTTTCCGGCCCAAACCGAGCCCAACAGCTGGGCCCCCCCTCGTGCCGCAGCTGCGCCACCGCCGCACGGAGCTGGCCGTCCTTCGGCTTCGATTCTTTGATTCGTCGGATTCCAGGGGAACGAGAAGCGGAGGAGCTGCCCTTTGTCTCTGTGGTTCACAAAGGTGTTTTTTGCAAAAACACGGAGAAACACCCGGATTTAAAGCCCGAGGTGTTTTGGTCCAAGGGAATAAAGCCAGGCGGTTGGTACCTTCCCTCATGGTTGTGTCCTTCCCTCCACATGGAGTCTCCTGACCCTAAAATGAGTCCACCCCTTTAGTCTGGGGAATGACCGCAGGTGGTTTGAAGGAAGGATGCGGGGTACCTTCCCCTATGCCCCTGGGGTTCAAACTCCCAAACCACGAATCAAAGCACATGGGGCCATGGGGCGGTGTCAAACTAGGGGGACCAAAAAATTAGTGACGTTCCTGTTGGTGTCCCTCAATCGGTACGCTCAAACAAGGCAAACCCAGATAATAATCGGCTTCCTTCTAATTGGTTCGGTCTGCAGGCTATCGGGGATTCCATCTAGCCTCTAACAAGAACCAGGGGATCAAATCCCCAAACCACAAATCCAAACCACCAACTACGGGTGTCCTGAAATCCGGGACTGACTTGGGTATGTGTCCAATTGGGGGGGGGGCGGCCAATTGGTGGTAGTTTTCCTCTTAAAGTTCCTTAGAAACCAAAGTGAAAAGGGTCCCACAAAGTGATTTCTTTTGCTTGAAAGGGAAAGAGGAAAGCCAACAGGCAAACAGCTATTCGTTTGCTACTGGAAAGAGGCACCTCTTGCCATCGTGAGAACAGGTCTCAAACCCTGAAATGCTGAAAATCGATGCTTCCCCGTTGATTATGTTGTTTGTTTTTGTGTTCATTGTTTTTTTCTCGAGATGGTCCGGGGACAAAGAAAACGTTTCTCGCCTTTCGCTCATTGTTTCTGGGTCGAGGGCCTCGAGGAGCATAGTCCAGAAAGTGAAAGCTTTGGGGATGTTCCCGGAGTGTGAAGCTGGGATCGCTTCTCTTCCCAAAACTCCTTTTGTGAGTGGACTGAACGCCCAGAAAAGGTGACCAAACCTTTTGCCGGCCCCTAAAATGGTCGAAACCCTAAAAGTAACGAACTTCTTTCAGGAACTCGACAAATGGTGGTTTTCCCCGCCGTGGTTGCCCTTGAACCCCAAGAGAAGCCTCAAAAAGCCAGCATGATCGGGAGCGAGAAAAGGCCACCTCAAACAAAGGGAGGGGAGCCGCAAAAGCGCCCCCCCCCAGATGGGCTTGCAAAAAAAAACAAAAACAAAAAAACACACACACACACACGGTGGGCCCATTAAAAAAGAGAGGCAAAACCGAAGCCCATCTAAAATGAAGCGCTGGAAAACCGGTGGGCCCGTTTAGGAGGATCCGATTCGCCCGGTCCTTCTCTTCCACCGTCGCTCGGAGCTCATCCTGCGAGAGCTTCGCTGTGTTTGTCGGCGGGCATGGCTCATTTGATGAAGGAACCAGACAACTTCATTTGTCTAATATGTATATATATATATATATGTACATGTGTATATGTATATATTTAGATAAACTAGGGGTTGGGGAGGGAACCCTTTTTTGAGCAGCTCTTTTTTGCGCATGTCTTTCTCTCAATAAACTGGGGCTTACCGGGGGGGGGGGGCGCACCCTTTTTCTGAGCAGCCAGCCGCAAAATCTGTGGGTGGCCTCGACCCCAAAACCACCGCCCTTCCATGGAAGGATCCATGGTCCAACATGCATGTGCACCTGTATGCTGTACATGCGCTATCAATATGTTTGTCATATGCAGACACTTCAGGAGCAAAAATCCATGGGCCGATATTTTTTTTCAGGGTACCCCCTTGTTTGGTTGGCTTTAGACGGGAAGCCCAAAGGACACCAACCCTTTTGGGGGCCCCCCAATTTGAAGAGTCCCATCCCATGCCCAGATCCCGTTGGCCTTGGGTGAGTGGTTACACTTCGTTTCCTATACAAGTACATGGAATCACTGGGACTTCTCCCTAACTTTCAGTGGGTTAAAGTGGGAAACCCAACCACCAAGCCTTCTAGAAGGCTAAAGAGCTGCGGGTCAATTCTCGAAATGAGTCGTTTCCATATTTGACTTCCCGTCAAAAAACCAACTCAAACAGGCTGCCATACAGTTGGCATGCTCAGGCCTGACCCCAAATCCACGTGTGCAGGTCACTTGTGAAGGCTTCTTTTCACGCCTAGAGACGCACAAGAGAGGCCAAGTCAAATTGACACAATGGTGATGCTTAAACCGAACAAACGCACAGGGTTTGGCTTCAAGTTTCGCATGATTCTCGTTTTTCTGCTCAGAAGCACACCAAAAAGGAAGGCGGAAAGAAAACCAGCTGAAACGGTCGCCGTCGGGCGCCCAGAAGACTTCCCACCCTAAAAGTCAGTCGGTGCAAATCAGCCTCCCTCGTTTTTGGGGCCCGGTTCGGAGCCCAGCTTTACGCACAAGAACCAGCAAATCGAAGTGCTACGACTTCCAACCTGAGTGCAAAACCCCCCAAAAGAATTGCCCAGATTTGGATGAAAACCCTAAACGGCAAATAATGATGGTTGCATTACTCTCCCTTCTGCGAACATAGCACCTGTGGGAGGATACCTGCAAAAATCAAGCTCCTCTTCAAACCAACAACACAACAAACACAAAACAAGCACAACAAGCACAACAAGCACAACAAGCACAACAAAACACGCCCCTGTCGAGTGCCATCTTCGTGGACTCCCAATTTGTTTCCAGGGTGGCAACTCCTGAACCCCCGGGCAATGTCAGGGACCCCAACCCAACTCAGCCAACTCGGCCCGGCCGGCCCGGGATTCGGGGGTCGGCCCGGAGCCTTGTGGAGCTGCGTGAGCGCTTCGACCTGCCGATTCGGATCCGTCCGCGGAGCGGGACCCCCTGAACCGGGAAAACAACGGGAGACACCTCCCACTTCTTTGGGGGAAGAAGACAAAGGATAAATTGTGTCCCACACACCAAACCTGGTTGCTCTAAAGGCCCGTGATGCATGGGATGACCATTGGTTGGAAAACCACTAAGAAGATGGATATGTCCCACCAAGATGACATGTCAAGCACCAAACGGTACCCATGGTCATTTGGCCAGAATACTGATCACCCCCCACATGGGATCCAGGAAAAACGCGACACCTCCCACTTTTTGAAGGGAACCGCGAATGAGAAAAAAACGTAAAGGAGAAGCTGTGCCCCACACACCAAGTTGCAGCGTGCCTGGAGCACCCCAGTGCCCCAGTGCCGCTAGACGTGACCCGAAGAAGCCGAGATATTGGCAAGAGATATTGGCAAGAGGTGTTCACATTCTCCAGCCCCCAATGTTAGACCCTTTTTCTCGGGTGGGCCCCCCCCCCACAACTGAAGCCACACAAAAAAACAACAACAACTTACGTACCGGTGACTTCTGCAAAGTGCACGGCCAGCTTCCTACCGGACGATTCGATAGATTGCCCACATTCCTCAGCCAGCTGTGCCTGTATCCTGTATCCTCATGCTTTTTGGGTAGGCTTCGCCACTTTAGCGCGAAGGGCATCCAAAAACCCGCTCTCAAAGTCAGGTGAGCAGCAGGTTGATGGGAGAAAAAGGGCATATTTTTTTGTTGGTTTACTTTAAAGGCGAACCCTTCCCGAATAACAGGAAATAAGGGCGGAATCCACCGGGCAACTGGGTTGAAGCCATGAACGCTTTCCTTTTGGAAGCAACAAAGACCAGCTTCCATGCACTGCTCTCCCCGGGCTTCTTGGTCTCTTTTCGTTTCTTGGGGTGGGTTTGGCATGGGCCTTCTATGGAGGCTATCCCTGACTTCCGTCAACAGATGTTTGATCTTCCCAGAAGGTCCCAACAGAGCCGCAAGTTGCTTTTTTCAGGAATGACGAAGTCCTGCAATATGAGAAGTATTTCCGTTTGGCCCTAAAAAGTCCTATGGTCCAACCCCCCCCAAGAAAAATACACACACACACAAAGTCGAAACTCGCTTTCGCCCTCGCGCACACGTCGCCCGGACCGCCCGGATCGCCCTGACCGCGTGGGGCCTCCCGAGCTCGTCTCTGCTCAGCGGTTCGCAGTGCCAAGGCCGCTGCCGCGCGCTCCTCGTCCTCGAGCCATGGAATTCGCGGCATCGATCGCTGCGAGAGACTGCGAGCGACGCAGGGAGTGAGACATGGAGTCGGGGGACCAAAGCCTGGGTTCATCAGTTCATCCCACCCCGAGAAAAACACCATCCAACTGGCGGTTTCCTTTAAGGGCACCAGAAAGATGTCGGGTATACACCCATGTGCATGGGGATCGATTGCATACTTTGACTGGAAAACGAAAGCTTCAGCATGCATGCAACCCCCTTTCAAAGTGGGCCTTACCTGAGTGGGATTGGCCAACACGCAACACACATTCCGTAAACAAAATCCGGGGAGTCTGAACTGTTTTTGTTTGCCACTAAAATTTAATCTTCCCGAAAAGTGCCGAAAGTCCAGCGCCTCTTGCGTGTGCAGATGACTCTGGCCCGGCCCAGGGCCGAGAACACAGCAACCACAGGTATAAAGTCCAGGAACTCAGGAAGCGAGGTTTTGACTGAAGGTTTCACCAAACATCCCAAAGTTAGCCTTCCGCTCCCTGGCGTTCGGTTTTGGTGGGCGCCTTTCGCCCACACCCTTTTTGTTGCTCCCCCCCCCCCGGTTTTCAACCCCTTCCTTTGTATATTGACCCCATTTGAGGAGCATGCCAGAGGCTTACAAGTTGCTTCCAAGCTGCGAGCCGACGCACCCAAATGAGTTGAGGAGTTGCTCTCCAGAACTGACACCCAAGCATAATACGTAATAAATATAGGATTTAGCAAATGGAAGCCAACCCACCTCTGGAGGAATCGTTTGCCTTTTTAGACCATGTTGAGTTCCTTCTGCTTTGCAGAATGGCTCTCTTTGTTTCCCTTGTCCAGCTGGGTGCGCATTAAACAGAACCCTCCCGGGTTTCCCACCCAGTTCGAGACATAGCGCCCTGTTCACTTCCGTTGGAAAGAGGGTGGAGTCTCCAAGATCCTGCTAACTGTGAGTCTAACTGTTAGATCCTAAGGCTCTTCGCAAGGCTGCCTATAGAGCTCCTTCTAAAGGCTCCTTCTAAAGGCTCACAAGGTGAGCCTCCTTATCAGGTTCCTTGGCTGAAAAACTCGGACACCCCCCCCCCCCCAACAACAAAAAAACACCTCAAAACCCCACAACCCAAACCCAAGGAACCGGACGGCTGGGGGTGCGCCCCAGAAGAAGAATTGGGGTGGCAACCCCAATCTATGACTCTAGCCAGGGGAAAAAAACATGAGATCATTGTCCTGTAGTGATAGTTCCCCTCCAAAGTCAACGTTTGTTTGTTTGTTTGTTTGTTTGCTTGTTTGTTTGCTTGTTTCTTTGTTTGTTTGACATCTCCATTTCAGCAAATGGAAGCATCCCATTTCTACTGGGTGACTCATACCCACCGAAACCAGCCTAGCTGAACAAAACTGGCCCTGACAACGACTCCAAGCTGAAGCCAGGTGTCCATTTGGCGATTCAGCGCCTAAGGCAAACCGCGCAACGGGCTGATCGGACGAAAGCAAACCTACTACTGGAAAGGTTGCTTGTTGGTTGGATTAGTTGCTCGGTTTCTCGGCTGCTTGCTTGCCTTGCCTTGCCTTGCCTTGCCTTGCCTTGCCTTGCCTTGCCTTGCCTTGCCTTGCTTTGTATTGCGCCTTGTTTTGCTTAGCTTTGCTCTGCTTTGCTGCGCTTGTTTGCCTGCTTCATTGCTTCTTGTTTGCTTCTCTGCTTACCAACTTGTCCCTGTTTGGGGGATTGGGTATAATTCTGCCTGTTAGCACAAACCGAAGCCAGGGAAAAGCACGTAGAAAATCGCCTTGGCACACCTTCGCCCAGTCACCTAACGAGCACCAAATCCAAACTTGGTGTTGAATATCAAAATAGGACAGGGCTCACTGGATTTCCCCTTCAAACGTTGCAAGTTACATGTGGCTTCCATGGAAACTATCGCCCTTTTGGAGGTTCCGAAAGGGAAATAGTTTGGAAACGCTGTAAGAATCTGGGAAAACTGCCTAATTCCCTATCCCCTCCATTTGGTTAAGTCCCCTGGGAAAAATAACAATATCCGCAGTAGTGAAATCGATTCCCTTTCAACCAAGAGGGGAAAAGCAAAACCTTAAGCAAATGGATCTAGTTGCGCATATGAGGGTCAAACCCCTCTAGGACTGACCTCAAAAGGGGCTCTTTGAAGGGCTCTTAAAAAACCCTTTGGTGGAAATCCAAGGTTCAAGCTGCTGGATCTACTGGCGGAAGGCACGTTCATCCCTGTACGCTTTGTTCGGTAAAGACTGCCCAGAAAACGGAAGATCCCCTTTTTCTAGGGGTCGATTCCGATTCCATTCTTTTCAACCATCGTTCTGTTCAAAGACCGGATCCGTTTCCTGTTCTTTTTTTGATGGTTTCCTGAAAAGATTCGGATCCCTGGGTTAAGAATGGGGCCACCCCAAAAAAAAGACGAGCCATGGTTGGAACCGCAGGGAACCTAGAAGCTAGCCCTAGACTTTTGGTGGAACTCGGTGGTCTTTAGCACCCAAGCATCACCTTCGCACTGGGCCCTGCACGGCCAGAGCCTCTGCGAATTCGGCTTCCTCGTGTTGCCGCGGCTCGTTGCGCGTTGCGATTGCAATGGGTCAACATCAAAACGCTGACAACGGTGCACTTCCTGAGTAAGTTGGCGAAAAACAGCCTGAACTTTATATCTACCACACAAATCCAAACAAGTCTTCCCAAAAGCAAAGCCTTTCAATCCACAAAGTCTTCCCAAAGAGTCTTCCCAAAAGAAACCCCTATATTGGATCCAAAGTCTTCCACAAAGTATGAATGAATCCAGGGAGTGCGATGGACATGCGACAATCATTTGCTGAGGCCAGTTCTCTGTGGAAACAAAAAAGTCCACACGTTGCAAATGCGGCACAGTAAAATGCAAATCCCGTCCTCCAGTGACGGCTCAAAAAGCCACCTGGTTTTGGAAGTTGAATTCAACGCAACCCCAAAAGGAAACCAGGGAAGTGGTTGAGTGGAGCTCTGAAGCAATCTGAAGTTCCGGCGATTTCTGCCCCACACCCACCGCTCTCTGCATCCAAGCGGCTCTTCTCGCCAATTCCTAAGGCGAAGGCTGAGATTTTCCTCAAATCCAGGGAGCCCTTCGAAACCGAAATGGATCGAAATGGGCATGAATGTCATTTGTCCAGCCGTTGGTAGAAACTCTCTCAAAACACTGCGATTTGTTTGCAGCCCCCTAAACATGAATAGAACCCCCCCCCAAAAAAAAAACAAACATGCCAACAGTGAAGTCATGTACCCGCGTTGACAAAGGCAGACCTGGCTCCACACCATTTGACCCGCGGGCAAGGTGATATGGGTGTGCAATTTAAGATCGAACTGGTTGGTGGACATCGTTTCGGCAGAGATTCATGTCCACCACCTACTTCTAAGATCAACATTCAGAGCCAAATGAAAATGTCTGAATCTCCGGAACTTCATGTTTTAGGAAGAACCCTAGCGTTGGATTTTCAGATTTCTTCAAGGTGTTCCGGAGCAACCCTCCCCTTCACTCCCAAGAGCCGCTGTTGTACTTCGAAGTAGTTCGCACCACCAAAAAAAGCCTCAACTCAGGGAACGATCCGAAGGGAAGGATCTAAAGAGCTTCCGTCACCGTCAAATCTGCACAAAACCATGGAGAATAGTGGAGTACATGAGAGGAAGCAGAAAAGGACGATTCTGGACAAGTGGACAGGGGGTCTAAAAATCAAAAGCACACATTCACCTCGGATCTCCTGCTTGGGGAGTTTTTAGCCTGTGAAACGTCGATCTAGCCCCCAGGGTTGCACCCATTCGAGCCGACCATGCGAGGCAACCATGTGTGGGCGCAAATATCGAGCCACACACACACACACCAGTAGAGAGGTAAGAATAAGTTGGTGCCAACTTTTTTCCTTTTTGTCTATTTTAGTAGAGAGAATGAGAAAGGCCACTATGGGGGCACCTAGCACATATATATATATATAACAGTTCACATATATATATATATACATATATATATATATATATGTATCCTTTGGATGAATGATGCCAAAGGGGTGATCAGCCCAAAATGGCCCGGGAGAACGGCTTCTCGCTCCATTGCATTCCCCGAAAAGGACTCGAAGTAGGGGTCCTAAAGTGGTCCTTTGCCCCGAGAGGTATGCTGGGTTTTGGAAAAATATTACAAGTTGCCAAACCAAAAAAAAAGGCTGGAAGAGCAACTTGCCTTTTTTTTTGGTTTGGCAACTTGCAATATTTTTCCACCACCCGGCGTACCTACGCATTCTCCTTCCAGCCCTCTTTGAGCAGATTGAGACCAGTTGCATCTAGCCTCAGGGGTTCAAATCCAAATCCAAAACCGCCAATCCAAACCGCCAATGGGCAACCTGGAAGGAGGGGTCCCCAAAACAACGCACCGTGGCACTTTGGCAAGGACACCTTTTCAGCACAGGTGCCCTTTTAGGGGAAATAAATGGGTTTCCCTGGTAGATGTGCAAAAACCACCAGGTAAACCAGGAATCGCCATCTATTTTTCTAACAAAAGAACCAAAAACGACACCTATGCTTTTCAGAGGAACCCTCGTTTGCGAATCAAACCCGTGAGTCCATGACAATTCCAAGTTGTCAACCCCTGGTTTGTCAAACCCCACTAATCATAGGCGGCCGTCTGGAAAAGCTATGTGTAACCGACCTACCCCATCAAAAGGACGCCTATGCGACCTATGCCACCTCTGGTCCCTTCTAGGTCCTCCAGTAGAGAGGATAGAATTAGGGTACTAACTTTTTCGGTAGTCTATTTTAGTAGGGGACCCTCCCAACCAAAAAAGGGGTGAGAAAGGGCACCTAGCTGGGGGACCTAGTCTACCACTAAAACGGTCCAAACCCAAAAAGTAGAAAGTCCGAAACGGAACTCAGGAAGTGAGCTCTTGTAGCTACACCCAGTCTTTTTGCGGGCTCAAGGTAGGAAAGCACCTCTACAAAGAAGGACCCCGGAGTCCATGAAGGAGATTGCCCAACATGGGAGGCCGGTCTTGTTTTATGGAAACCCCCAAGCCCCCAAAACCCCGGCCTTTTGGTGACTTTGCTTCCTTTCTTCCCGCTCGGCCGAGGCTCTTCTGCCTGGGTCCGGTCCCGCTCCGCGAGCACGGCCGCGGCTTTCTGCCGCTCCTCCTCCATCCTGGGCCGCTCGAACGGGGCGACTCTCCGCCCCCGAAACCTCGGCTTCACCCTAAGCCGAATCTTTGGTTTGGAGTTCCGGGGTGGCTCGGTTGCTTTCTGCTCCCCTGCTAAAAGTATCTAAAAGCTTAACTTTTAGTGGTTTAATACGGAAAACACATTAGTTGGCAAAAAGAAAAAGTCCTAACATCCAAGCAAAATGCACCAAAGGTGGCACATGCGTCTTTGTTCAAGGGGGAAAACGGTCCCTTTCTTTTGGGTCGCTTTTCTTTTGCATTCTCCCAACAAACATGACATCCAGCAGAAGCTTGCTGCAAATAACCAGAAGGTCTTCCAGGCAACAGAAAGCCACTTTTGGGAAAATGCCGGCTTCGGTCCTGGTGTGTACAGTACCACCAGGTGAGCCAATGGAAGAGTCAAGGAGAGCGACGGATTGGAACCCTTTGCGGGGACACGACCCTTTTGAATGGGGGGGCCCACCAAAAAGAAGGAAACTTGGAGGGTGGCACTGAACACCTGGGGCATAGTGATTTGAATTTGTCTCTGAACCAACCTACCTGATGGAAAGACCTCAAATCTGCAGCAATAGATGAAACTTACATGAGCCACGGTCAAAACTCCTCGTAAGGCCTATGGTCATGGCTCTTTTGATCGGGACCATTATAATTGTTACTACGGATCCAACTACTACCAGGTGGATGACCATCCCCGTTTTTCCCAAGGTGCCTTTTGACCATGGCACGTAGCCGCTTCTAATAAACCCTCTGAGCCGTCCCGGATGTAGGATATGGCTACGTCCTGGGGGTCTGGACCCGAACCGGTGGTTTGGAGAGTTTTTTCATCCAAACCATTTGCACCGGTAACCGAGGCTTACCAAACTAGCCACGTCCCCGGATGGCTCTCCGCTCACCAGACGGAAAAGTACCTCGCTTTAGAGATCAAAGCCACTGGCGGTGCAATTCCTCGCAGGTCTCGTCGTGCTCTCCTCGGCTTTGCACCCACTGGCTCTCTTCGAAGGAAGGCTCGTCCAAGTTTTGGGGAATGCCCTCAAGATGGGAGAAGCATCTGGGCTGCCCGGTTTCTGACAGTGACGCACTTGGAGTGGCCACTCAAATTCGGAAACCAACCACAAAACCCCCCCCTCCCCGAAGCCCTCGAGCTGCTTTACCTTTCCAATTGCTTTACCTTGGTGTACGCTTCCGGTACTCACGAATCAAGAACAATGGGTTGCCCTTCCCCACCACTGAAGTTTTAAAGATCACTAGATCTTGAGGCTGAATCCTCCGGGCTGCCTGGTTTCTGATCCAGTAACGAACTCCGCCGACCCCTTTCTCCAAAGGGGAGGCGCATGGGAAGGGCTTGTATTCGTCCTTGTCTTCGTGATGTTTATCAGCACCACTGATGTTGGGTGATGGGTTCGCAGCATCCGGGTCATCAGCATTCTACGTTTCAAGCTTGCCGTTCAACCCGGCTTGGAATGCAGTGATGCATTTTAGTCATGATTGTTATGACAGCTGCTGTTCATGCAGGGGATGCATAGTGATGATTGCCATCAGGATATCATCACGGTAACTGCTGGTGATGCTGGAGATGCGTAGTGATGATCATCAGGATCATCATGATCATCATGAGCAATGCTGCATCTGATCATCATCATCACTCTTCTCATCATCATCATGATGGTCAGTCATCATCATCTCTTTCTTGTTCTTATATGCATTTCAAAAGTAACGTTAGATGCATTGGCAATGCAGAGGATGCTACGATGATAGTTATCATCACAGTCCTCATCCTTATCATCATTATCATCATGGTCATCATCATCATCTCTTACTAGCCGCAGCATCCGGATCATCAGCATTCTACGTTTCAAGCTTGCCGTTCAACCTGGCTTGGAATGCAGTGATGCATTTTAGTCATGATTGATATGACAGCTGCTGCGCATGCAGGGGATGCATAGTGATGATTGTCATCAGGATATCATCACGGTAACTGCTGGTGATGCTGGAGATGCGTAGTGACGATCATCAGGATCATCATGATCATCATGAGCGATGCTGCATCTGATCATCATCATCATCACTCTTCTCATCATCATCATGATGGTCATCATCATTTGCTGCGGCTAGTAAGAGATGATGATGATGACCATGATGATAATGATGATAAGGATGAGGGCTGTGATGATAACTATCATCGTAGCATCCTCTGCATTGCCAATGCTATCTAACGTTACTTTTGAAATGCATATAAGAACAAGAAAGAGAGGATGAGGACTGTGATGATAATTATCATCATCCTGACGGTCATCATCATCTCTTTCTTCTTCTTATATGCATTTCAAAAGTAACGTTAGACAGCATTGGCAATGCAGAGGATGCTACGATGATAGTTATCATCACAGTCCTCGCCCTTATCATCATCATCTCTTATTAGCCGGCACTGGTGATGCCGAGGATGCTACGATGATAGTTATCATCACAGTCCTCATCCTTGCCATCATTCTCATCACGGTCATCATCATCTCTTATTAGGCGGCACTGGTGATGCAAAGGATGCTACGATGATAGTTATCATCACACTATCATGATGAATGATGATGGTCGTCATCATCATCATCACTCTTCTCATCAAGCATCTCTTTCTTGTTCTTATATGCGTTTCAACAGTAACGTTAGACAGCATTGGCAATGCAAAGGATGCTACGATGAGAGTTTTCATCACAGGCCTCATCCTTATCATCATTGTCATCACGGTCATCATCATCTCAAAATTAGGGAGCACTGGTGATGCAAGGGATGCTACGATGATAGTTACCATCACAGTCATCATCAGGATCTTCCTCATCATCATCATGATGATGGTCGTCATCATCATCATCATCACTCTTCTCATCACCATCCTGATGGTCATCATCATCTCTTTCTTGTTCTTATATGCATTTCAAAAGTAACGTTAGACAGCATTGGCAATGCAAAGGATGCTACGATGAGAGTTTTCATCACAGGCCTCATCCTTATCATCATTGTCATCACGGTCATCATCATCTCTCATTAGGGAGCACTGGTGATGCAAGGGATGCTACGATGATAGTTATCATCACAGTCATCATCAGGATCTTCCTCATCATCATCATGATGATGGTCGTCATCATCATCATCATCACTCTTCTCATCACCATCCTGATGGTCATCATCATCTCTTTCTTGTTCTTATATGCATTTCAAAAGTAACGTTAGACAGCATTGGCAATGCAAAGGATGCTACGATGAGAGTTTTCATCACAGGCCTCATCCTTATCATCATTGTCATCACGGTCATCATCATCTCTCATTAGGGAGCACTGGTGATGCAAGGGATGCTACGATGATAGTTATCATCACAGTCATCATCAGGATCTTCCTCATCATCATCATGATGATGGTCGTCATCATCATCATCATCACTCTTCTCATCACCATCCTGATGGTCATCATCATCTCTTTCTTGTTCTTATATGCATTTCAAAAGTAACGTTAGACAGCATTGGCAATGCAAAGGATGCTACGATGAGAGTTTTCATCACAGGCCTCATCCTTATCATCATTGTCATCACGGTCATCATCATCTCTCATTAGGGAGCACTGGTGATGCAAGGGATGCTACGATGATAGTTATCATCACAGTCATCATCAGGATCTTCCTCATCATCATCATGATGATGGTCGTCATCATCATCATCATCATCACTCTTCTCATCACCATCCTGATGGTCATCATCATCTCTTTCTTGTTCTTATATGCATTTCAAAAGTAACGTTAGACAGCATTGGCAATGCAGAGGATTCTACGATGATAATTATCATCGACGTCGTCCATCATCATCCAGGGGGGTGGGGTCTGATCATGACTCAAGTACGCAGGGTTGAAGTTTACAGTGAAACCAAAAAACAAGACCAACATTTGACCGGGGCGAAAATTTAACATTTCACCCAAAAGAAACCAAAGAAACCAAAACCAAGGGCACTGTTTTCTTTTGCTCGAAAACCACAACTAAATCCGGGGGTCGGCGGCACTGGGCGGCAGCCCTTAAATTTGAGTAGCTTCAGATCGGAAACCAACTAAACCAACTACCCCACCCCCCCCCAAAAAAAAAAACTGTGGCTTCAATTCGGAACCCGAGGACTAAACCAACTACCAAGATCTAAAAACCTGTCTGGACCCGGATGGCTGGATACTCTCGTCGTGTTTGGGGGAACTGGTGCTGAGCCGTTGCGTTCCGGAACCTGGGACTCTGGGACCTGGACCGCTCTAAAACAAACAAGAAGAATTGCGCCCCTCAAGTTCCGGGTTGCCTTTGTTCCAGGAGTGTACGGTCCCTTCTGGGTCGATTCTCTTTTTGGCCTTCTCTCAACAAACATGACATCCAGCAGAAGCTTGCTGCAAATGAACCAGAAGGTCTTCCAGGCAACAGAAAACCACTTGTTTGGAAATGCTGTCTTTTCTTTCTTTGGTTTCTTTCTTTCTTTCTTTCTTTCTTTCTTTCTTTCTTTCTTTATTTATTTCTTTCTTTCTTTCTTTCTTTCTTTCTTTCTTTGTGTGTGTTGTTTGTTTGTTTGCATGCTTGCTTGCTTGCTTGTTTGTTTGTTATTTGTTTTGCTTGTTTGTTGGTTTGTTTGTTTGTTTGTTTGTTTTTGTGTGTTCGATCATTCGTTCGTTCATCCGTGCGTGTTCGTTCGTTCGTTCGTTCGTTCGTTTGTTTATGTGTGGTTGTTTTGGTTGTTTGGTTGTTTGTTTGGTTCTTTGGTTGTTTGGTTGCTTGGTTGCTTGGTTGCTTGGTCGCTTGTTTGATTGTTTGTTTGTTCATTCGTTTGCTTGCTTGCTTGCTTGCTACTAACCAGACAAATCACTCCACCAAGTAAGAACGGCCCTGCAAGAGCTATCAATCTGTCAGTGCTGCGTCACATTGTGCCGCAGGCTCCACCCCTGGCGGCGCCCTTCATTCTCATCACCATCATCATCATCATCATCATCAGCAGCATCATCCTCATCATCCTCATCACAATTAAATCATCAAGCACCATCTCCCCCCACCACCATTTGCCACATGCGATGCGCCACCCACGCCACCCCACACCCCACCCCTGGTGACTCATCATTAGCTGCGATGCGGGACCGAGCCTGCCCACCCAAGCCCGCCATCCCACCCCGCCCTGCCACACCCAACGCCAAGCACACCCCACCCGCCACCACACAACAAACACGACAAGCACAGGCCCACCACCCCCACCCATCACCCCACCCGACACCCCACACCACCACCCCCACCACCCCCACCACCCCACACCCCTCCACACCTTCCCCCACCCCACCCCACCCCACACCCCCACACCCCCACACCCCACCACACCTTCCCCCCACCCCACACCCCACACCCCCACCTCACCAGCCCACACTTCCACCACTTCACACCCCACACCCCTCCACACCTTCCCCACACCCACACCCCGCGCCACCCCGCCCCGCCCTGCCACACCCCAAGCCCAGACCCCACCCACCACCCACACGACAAGCACCCACCCCACCCCACCCCACCCACCCCACCCCACCCCACCCCACCCCACCCCACCCCACCCCACCCCACCCCACCCCACCCCACCCCACCCCACCCCACCCCACCCCACCCCACCCCACACTCCTCACACCAAGCAGCCCCCCACCCCACCCAACCCCACCACACCCGCGAAGCTTTTGGCGCGCGGCGGTTGGTGTCGTGAAGATGCGCTTCCGAGGCCGCCCTCTCTGAGGTCATCTGCGCCTGCAGCACCGCCACCTCCCGTGCGCGCACCTGGCGCGCGCTGGCGCGCGCACTTGGCTCGCGAGCGACGCGAGTTACGAGTCGAGTCAAGCGGAAGCGGCCTGGGGAGTATGCCCCGAAAACAGGGGTCGAGCTGGATTTCCCCGAATCAATTGACCAAGGTACTGGTGCGCATTGAAACTAAGAGGAACTGAGGAAACAACCGGATGCCCGGGCGCAGGATCAAAAAATAATTATTTGCGGGATAGAAATCCTCGACACCCGGATCAAAAAACATATATTTACAGGATCAAAAACAATTTATCTCGCCTGGGGGTGCCAAAACGCTGTAATTTACATCATTTTCGGGCAACAGCGCGCGCATTTTACGGCTCCAGCTGTAAAATAGACACTTTCCAATACAAGCGCAGTACGCGAAGGTCACTTTGGCAGCTCCAGTTCGAAAATCACAACTTTTCAGATACAAGCGCAGTTCTATCAACGAATCTAGCATCGGTTAAATGCCTGTAGGGTTGGCTTAAGGTTGTGTAGGGTTAATGTAGGTTGGGTTTCGGGTGGGTTTGGGGTGGGTTCAGGCTTGGTTTAGGGACGGTTTAGGGTTTGTTTACGGTGGGTTGATTTAGGTTGGTTTAGGGTAGGTTTAGGTTGGGTTTAGCGTTGGTTTGCGGATTTAGGGTGGGTTTAGGGTTGCTTTAGGGTGGGTTTAGGGTGGGTTTAGGGGTGGCTTAGGATTGGCCCCCTGGGTTGGGTTAAGGGATGGTTTAGGCTAAGTTTACGGGTAATGGTAGGGTAGGGTTAGGGCAGGTTTAGGGTTGGTTTAGGGTTGGTTTAGGTGGCTTAAGGTTGTGTAGGGTTGGTTTCAAGGTTGGTTTAGGGAGGGTTTGGGGTTGGCTTAGGTTGGTTTACGGTTGGTTTAGGGTTGGTTTAGGTTGGGTTTAGGGTGGTTCTAGGTTGGCTTCGGGTAGGTTTAGGGTGGGTTTAGGGTGGGTTTAGGGTTGGTTTGCGGGTTTAGGGTGGGTTTAGGGTTGGTTTAGGGTTTAGGGTCGGTTGAAGGTCAGTAGGGTTGGTTTAGGGTGGGTTTAGGGTTGGATGAGGTTTGGTTAGGGTTGCTTTAGGGTTGGTTTAGGGATGGTTTAGGCTGGGCGAAGGCTTGGTTTAGGGTGGGTTTAGGTTTGGTTTGGGGCTTGAAAGTTGTTTAGGGTGTTTAGGGATAATTTAGGGTAGGTTTCGGGCAGGTTTAGGGCGGGTTTAGGGTTGGCTTAGGTTGGTTTTGGGTCTGTTTAGTGTAGTTTTCGGGTGGGCTTAGGCTGGGTTTAGTGCCGGTTTACGTGGCTTAGGGTTGGTTTAGGGTTGGGTTAAGGGATAATTTAGGCTAAGTTTGCGGTGGTTTGGGGTAAGTGTAGGGTAGGGTTAGGGCAGGTTTAGGGCAGGTTTAGGGTTGGTTTAGGCTGGGTTTAGGGTTGGCTTAAGGTTGTGTAGGGTTGGTTTCAAGGTTGGTTTAGGGTTAATTTTGGTTGGGTTTCGGGTGGGTTTGGGGTTTGGAGTGGGTTTGGGGTTGGTTTAGGATTGGTTTAGGGTGGGTTTAGGTTTAGTTTAGGGTCTGTTTAGGGTGGGTTTAGGGTGGGTTTAGGGTGGGTTTTGTGTTTGTTTGCGGTGGGTGGATTTTGGTTGGTTTAGGGTAGGTTTAGGTTGGGTTTAGGGTGGTTTTAGGTTGGCTTAGGGTAGGTTTAGGGTAGGTTTAGGGTGGGTTTAGGATTGGTTTAGGGTTGGTTTAGGGCGGGTTTAGGAAAAGTTGCGCAGGGTCGGTTTCAAGGTTGGTTTGTAGGTTGGTTTTGGGTTGGTTTAGGGTGGGTGTAGTTTGGTTTAGGGTCGGTTTCGGGTAGGAGAGCAGGCCAGGAGACCAGCAGACCAGGAGGCCAAGAGACCAGGAGACCAGGAGACCAAGGACCAGGAGACAAGACACAGGAGACCAAGACCAGGAGGACCAGGACACCAGAAGACCAGGGACCAGGACCAGCAGGAGACATGGGGACCAGGAGACCAAGGACCAGGAGACCAGGAGACCAGGAGAGCAGGGGACCGGAGACTAGGTCTCAATAATTTGTTTTTGATCCCCTAAATATGTTTTGTTGATCCCCAAAATAATTATTTGTTGATGCTCATCCCCGGATGCCCTCGGACTTTGACAAAATGCTACAAAATGCAGCAACTTGAAGAACCCAAAAGTCATTTTGTAGTGGGCGCGTTCACTCTGAGTCCTACCAATGTTCCGAATGGCCTGGACACCCTTTCTGAAGGCACAAAAACACGTGAACATATATGAGCAGAAGCCCTGCGAGCCAAAATAGCATCAACCAAGCCCAATCCCTGCAACACCAGTCAAACCTCAGTCCTACAAAATTACAAAACGACGTAACCAGGCCCAAACCCTCAACATGGCCCTCAGAGAAACAAAAGGCGTGTAGCATTTACAGAATGATGGCATTTGTCGGACTTCCACAAGAAAAAAGAAGAAACAAAACAGATCCCCTGCTAAAAACCACTGTAACTTGTAGTGGCTTAAATTCGGAGACCCAACCACTAAACCCTAAAACCTAAGAAACCGAATGGCTGGGAACGGCCCCGAAAAAGGCGCGCCTCCTCTTTCTGGTTGCTGAGCAGCGACATGGCGGCGGCATGCTCCCGGTCCTTGTTTTGGATGAGGTACCTGCGACAAGATACAACTCTTACGGGGTTCTTGAGAGGGGGGGCTCTTCCACTGGGTTGGGCGGTTTTGTGAGGGGCATCCTTCTTTGCGAAGCCTCCATTCGCTTAAGTCCGCTGGAAAAGCTATGCTCAGTAGTGGAATCGTTGCAATTAAAAACCCGCAGGGAAGATGAACAATAGTCATTTCAGAAAATGGACGTTGAGGATTTAACAAGGGAAACAACGAAGAAACCACATTTCGGGGGATCCATATAGTTTGAGACTCCGCTCATTTGGCCTGCTGGCCAAAAGAATGGACCTCGATCCTCTGAACCTCTTCCTGCCTTGCGGGGGGGGGGGGGGGGCTTTTGAAGCCGCCCAAAACAACGGCAACAGACAGACTCGAGTAACTTGAGAACGTCTTTTTGTAGGTCGCCTTTTTGGGGTTGTAAAACGAAACCAAAGGGGCACCCCCAGTCCGCAGGTTCTGTGAGAAGCTGGCGTTCTGCACTCAAGTTGGATAGGTTCAGGATCCTTTGCACCTTGCACCTATAAGGTAAGCAACAGCCACCTAGGAAGTAACTGGCCATGTTTGCCGACATTTGCCACCATCAGCTGACAGCAATACGCCCTCCAGACTCGGTTCAACTGCGGTTGTGAACGACCTGCAAGAAAGCAGTCGCCTCCGTCGCTTCCTTTCCCTGGCGAAACAGTTAAAGCTTGTGGAGCTATTGAACAGCATAAGCTAAGCCACCCCAATATGATTAAAAAGGCAAACAAACAAAACATTTATACATATATACATTTACATATATATATATATATACGTATATATATATATATATATATACACATGGCTACCAACCTGAGTATGGACCTATGGAGACTTCTTAAAAAGCGTAACGGGCTCCAAGATCTTGGTATCAGAGGGTCCCTTTGAGGATTGTGGGAAGTTGGAAGGAGCTCATTCCCCCAAACAAAGTTGGGGGGCACAAATCCCCACCGAATCCTGAGGTCCACCCGAACGTCCCCAAGAACAAAACAAAATGAACATCATCTTGCATGGGCCATTGCTCTGGGCCGTGCAAAAGAAAAATTAGACAAAACCCATTGTCTAGAAAGCCACCAAAAAAATCTGGAGAAATTGCTGGTTTTTGAAAAGAACTATGGCTGAAAAGAATGGGGAATCACCCCCTGGAATGTTAGCACCTCCTTAGGTACCAAGCGGCCTTAGAGGAAGTCCCTTTCGGCCCATTTCGGCCCATTTCGGCCCAGGGGCATGGTCTGAATGATGGGCGGCAGCCTCACATCTGACAAGATCATGGCACACAAATGTTGGATCCAAGCAAACACCAGGGCTGCGGGAAATGGAATCCGCTGTGATGCAACAAAAAGGGCCTCACAAAGACTAACCCCCAATGTAAAGAGGGGATTGCCTTCTATCACAGAAGTGGGGATACACCCTCCCACAACCCCAAGCAAAACTGCTTCGGAGTTCAAATACTAGATGTGTGAGCAACAAGGCTGTCCAACATGCTGGTTGTTCGAGAAACACATTGAATGTGTATTCGGTTTTGGATTTATTCACATTTTGGAGATGCTCAAAGGTGAGTTTAGGCAAATGCTGGCAACCATCGACAAGGAGCCTCCGGCCTCTGACCATAGGTCAGAACTTTACATGGACCCTTGGGTGGGTATGAAGCTTAAAGGGATGTTTACATATGTCTGCGTGGAGAGAGGTTACCCAAAAAGATTCAGAGCCTAATGTCTTTCAGGAGGCACTTGGGATCTGAAGTGAGCGGCAGCTATTGGACATGTCGATGCACTTTCACCTGATGCACGGCCTAATGGCTCCATACTGCACACCTTCTCCTTCCAGTTGTGTCACTGCTGATGCTGTCACTGCTGATCCCACCCCACCGCGCTTCGTAAGAGAATGGGCGAGCGGAAGCTCTTCGACATTTCGATTTACGTGGGCTTGATGTACGCCTTGGCTGAAATACTACACAACCAATATTTGGGTGTGTCTTACAATGGGGGACCCAAAAATGGTGGTTTTGGCTTCCCTTTAAAGACATCCAAAAAGGGCATCCGCGAAAATAGACGAGCCACCCATTTATGCAACTGACAAGGTACGGCTTCATTTTCGTCAAACCCGAGGGTACGCTGGTTCCCGCCGGTCCAAATCCGAAATCAACATCTTAAGGTTGCCAAAAAAATATGGGTACCTTAGCAACCATTCCTCACGGGAGACTGGTAAGTGGTGCAGTCCCCCAGTCCTTTCGGTCGGAACGCGGCAACAAAAACAAAACGGTCCGATGGGAAAGGAATTCGGCACTGATCAGGCGCCGGGAGGGGTTTATCCGGTGGAATCAGACTCTTTTACTTTCCACTGATAGAAGCCGGCAGGGGGTTGGAAGACTACTTTCCTTTTGGCAGCCCCCAATCGTGACGAAACCGATTTTAGGTGCCCAGATGTATGTTGTTCCAAACAAGTGTTTTTTTAAAGTTCCGCCCTTCTTCTGGCCAGCAAGTTTTCCTGAGCTCTCATTCGGGGATGAGTTGGAATTGGCACATGGGGGGCTGTGTCCAACAACCCTGTGTCCTTTTTTCAGTGTTGCACCACCCCCCCTTCACAAAATGGATTCCAGTGTTCCTTTTGGTTTCCAACTGAAGCTGCGACTTTCAAGCGAAACACCCGATTTAAGTTGGACTGGTCGCAGCAAATTGAATCAGCGGCCGGGCTTTCAACTCAAACCCAGCACTACTGCCGCCAGAACCTCACGGAGTGAGGCCATTCTTGGTTCGAAGTCAGACCGGGTCAAAACGAGCCACAGGGGCCGTCGCATGAAACGCGACGGAGAACAATTCGATCCGGTCGGAAGCCGGAGATCCATGTCCAAGAGCAGAAGCACAGGCCACGATTCACGAGTGGAAGCGCTTCTTCATTTTGTGGACATTTCTAAGGCGGGGCGGTCCAAGGGGGGGGGGCCTTCCCTGGGGTTTTGTAAGGAACCCCAGGGAGCCCTCCCGCAACCCTAGGGCTTTCGACTACTAGGCGCTCCAGTAGAGAGGAATTAGAATAAGGGTACCAACTTCTTTCTGATTCGTCTATTTTAGTAGGGGAAGCCTCCCCCAAAAAGTTGGTACAAGGGCACTACTGGGGGACCTAGACTACCTACCCGCCCTAAACAACTCCCATACTTTTTGTGTTGCACCGCTCCGTGAGCCTTGTGTCCCCAAAAGGCGTCTCAACTGCCCCGAAAAGCGTCAAGCCAAGAAGGGCACCGAGCAACTCAAGGATCCGCCGTGCGTCGCGCTCACGAGAAAACCGGATCTCTCAACCCGGGGGTTCCGGAACCCGGAACCCTATTGGAGAGTTCCGAAGGCAGAGACAAAGCCATAGGTGTTCTTTTGGGGGAACTGGATGGATATCCCTGGTAGAGCAAAAACCACCAGACAAACCAGGAATCGCCCTCTATTTTTCTAGCCACATAACCAAAAAGGACACCTATGGACAAAGCCCAAAGCTTTCAGCTCAAAGCCCAGGAAGGAGTTCTGGAACCCCCCGATCGATTTTCTAGCCTCGAAAACCCTGAAAGCTGCCCCAAACCACAGCGTACTGTTAACCCCGGATTAATAAACCCCTGGTTGATTAATAGGGGGGTGTCCCCTTTTAGTGGGGATTCATCACTTTTGGAGGGAACACCCCCCTAATAGTGGGACGGGTTTATTAATCCTGGGTCAACATTATCTGAGCAGAGGCCCCCAGCACTTGGGGAAAAAGGGACCCGTACACTCTCCTCGAATTTTCCGGGGACCCCTCCTGAGTAGTGCGGTTCTTCCGAAACTGTTGACGGAATCCACGAAAAGTGAACAGAACCCAAAAAAACTACTAAACACCTAAAACTGACTTAGGCTCGTGACTGCCCCCCAATGCAGGCCCCCGGCCCTCCAATGAAGAACCCGGAATTCTCAGGGGCGCTTGAAACCAACCTTGGGGAAGGGAGAAAATCTTGGCACAGTGAAGGTTATCCCTTGGTGTCCAACGGCTCGAGTTATGAGGCACCCGGCCCATCAGACTCCTCGTGAGGGCCCCCCACTTCACGCTAGAAGCGGCTCGTCTGTTTTTTTTGTTTTCGGCACGTCCCCCTCTTTTAGGCTGCTTCTAAAGGGACGCCCAAGGGAAACCACTGGTTTTCAGGGTTGACCATGTTGAGTGAAGCTGACCAAAAGGGAAGCAGAGCGCCACTGAACTGGATTCTCGATTGGCAGCGGATTAGAGCACCCACCTGTCGCGTCCCCCCGCCCCAGAATAGACGGGTGTGGGTCAAGAATGGGTGCCCAACATGAAGCCAAACCTGCCATCCCCGAGTGGCTTAATTTTGACCCGTACCCAAATAGATCAAGAAGAATGTCAAGGCGAATCAACCGATTCAGATCCTTTTTTTTGAAGGAGAACATCCTTAATCAACATCCACCAAGGCGCTCTTCATCTGTTCCCTCTGTCATTCGAAAAATGGCCTCGCACTTGCTGGTTTCACTTGTTACCCCTGTGTTGTTTCTCGGTATCAAGGAACAAAGTTGTACTCAACTCCAGAGATTGCTGCTACGCAGGTTTGGTTTAGGCTCACGCGCCATAAGTTGTCTGCTTTCACCCTTTCTAATACTTAGGTCCGGTTGCTTTCGGCACGAAGAAAACAAACATGACTGTGACCAGTCGTGTCATGGTGACCCCATATCAATCAACACCCCTAGGGTTAGTGGGCAAGCATCAGTTTTGGAGGGCCCCCCCCAATTGTTGATAAACTGGACTTTGTTGATTAATAAGGGGTCAACATCAACAGTGGGCACCAAAAAGTGGCTGGGTCCTCCAGTAGAGAGGTTAGAATAAGGGTACCCTTTTTCTGTAGTCTATGTTAGTAGGGGAACCCTCCCCCAAAAAAGGGTAAAAGCGCCGCCCTACTGGGGGACCTAGGTGGTAAAGACCAACGCCGAAAACATAAAACAAGCGACAACAACGAGGCAAACACTCTCCAAGACAAAACCAAAACGAGCCAAAGCCAACAAGGTGAACGTTTTTGCTGCAGAACGCAAAAAGCCCCGGAGCCAGCCAACAAAATGGCCCAGGCTCCCCTGGAGCTGTTCAGAACCCTCATCAGGGCAGAGACCAACTCCCTAGCTTTCAATCTGATTGGGAGCGAGCCTATCCGGGCAGAGACCAACTCCATAGCTTTCAATCTGATTGGGAGAAGAACAAAAACACAGATTGGGCTTTCTTCCCTGAAACGAAAACAACGGGACTGGCTCCTGAAGGATCTTCTTGTTCAGGAGGAAGTGTCCCTTGCTCCCGGGATCTCCAGGCTCCGCTCGTAGCCTGAGGCAAACCCGTTGGCTTTGGGCAGGGCGGGAGACCACCCGGAACAACTTGGTTGACGTTGGGTTTGGGGAGCCAAAATTTAAATTTTAGCAGCTAAGTGGATTTGGATTTCAACCACTAAACCACGAGAAGCAAAAATGTAAAATGTTTTCCAACAACGACCATGACAACGGCTCCAAACCACCAAGTGGATATGCCACGTGCGATATCCCGACATGCAATCATGATAAACCCGTACTATTGATAGGTGTCCCCCGAAAAGTGAAAAGGATTCCCACTAAAAGGGACCCCCCGATCAAAATCATTCAGAGGTTGATGCATTGATCTGGGGCTCCCATCACCCCTAAAACGGTCCCAACCCATGGCTTGTTTGGAGGATTTAGAAATTATGTTGTACCTGTCTTTCAAGGATCTCCAGAAATCCCGAGATTTCTTGGGGAGGGGGTTCCATGAACCTTTGAACATGGGGTATGTGATGTGATATACCCCCAGAATCCACCTGCCAGGCGAAGGGTATCATTTTCCCCACGGTCTGGGAAAATGGGATGGGCTGCCCCAAATACTTACCGCAGCGTTTGCCCAACGACAAGTGTTGACCTTAGTTTTTGACGCTTGTAGGTCAAAATCAGAGACATATGGTTTTGCCTTTTTTGTATTGAAAGGTCAAATCTCTGCGGCTTATGCTCTTTCTGGTGGCTTCACGTTTTTATCATCCCCGTTTGGGCCAATGAGGTGATCAGGAGTTCTTCTCAGCTTCCCTCGTTGGTGGTTTGGAGCCGAATCGGCGGTTTGGGAGGGGTAGCCAGGGTTTTACTCTCGACCAGAACCCGGGGTTTAAATCCCCAAACCCAGCCGCACCGAATGATCTCAAGCAGCATCTTGACGTCAAGTTGTCTTAGTAAAGGTGTGATCATCCGTGGTCATGCCTCCCCTTGGTAAGAAAGGGCACCAAAAGCGTGTCCATGCGCTTAAGAAGAATTTAATACTTAAGGCTTTCGTAGCGACTTTATTCTTGGCAAACAAGGGTGGGGGGGAGGAAATCCAATGATCTTCGCTTCACAAAGGCTGCAGGACCCGGAAGTCTGAATCGCCGAGCGGCCGACCAAGCTCATCCTCGGCGTGCAAAAGGGAATTGCCTATCGATGTCCATTCATGGGCTGGGCGGGGGGTGTTATCCCTGATCAGCCGAGGAGCCGAGGATATGCCCTTTTGGCCATAAAGGTCTAAGGCATAGCCCCTCCCCAGAACTCACCCGTGGGGTCGCTTTCCTACTACCCGCTGGCTGACTTTGATATTGGTTGAACCCTGGATTAAGCAAACCCCCAAAGCGCCCTCCCCATAGCGCCACGTCCCTGAGCAACTTTGATCCTTCTTTTTGGGGTCAAAGTGCCTCAGCATAGGCGTTCTCAGTAACATCGATGGCCTAGATGTTCCAACCAGGTTTACCGAACGGGCCGCAAAATGTGCGAACGTAGCCAAAACACGCCAAAAACACCACCAAACTATATTCCAGAATGGGCTCTTGCTGGGAGCCAGGGGAATCCACCGTGGTAAAGCAAAAACAAGTCATGCTAAGGTCAAAGCCCTTTCGGTTGCCATGACGTCATAGTTGAACCATGGAAAAGACAACCAGATAGAAACGACAGTTTTTAGGATCATTCCCTAGGCTTGATGATACCACAGTAAAAGAATGTTTGCGACCATGGCTCATGCGGCCATGTGATTGGAATGGGACAATGAAGTTTCTCGGACGATGATGATAGAGTCAGTTTAGGGACAAACCCATGTAGTCATCTGCCCCCAAATCGGGGTCGAAAGAGCAACACCGCGCATGAGGATATGAGTATGAGATCGAATCACCTGGAAAACGTCACAAGACCTCGTCCAACAAAAAACACAGACCTAGATAGCCAAGTTGCGATCGCTTTTTTCAGTCACTGTTGCTGATTTTTGGGTAAAGTGCATGAAAAAAAACAGCAACTCGCGATCCAGGGACTTTCGGAGAGGAGCTGACAGGGACCTCACGATCTCCCCTGCTGGTGGGGGGTTCCCAATTCCATGTATCTAGTCTTCCCAATAAAGAAGGAAATGGAACCAGAAATGGATTTCCAGGGGTCACCCTCCCCCAATTCCATTTTGAAGGGGGTGGGGATACCTCACGCATCCAACCATCGGAACCTATGGATCCCTTACGATGCTGGCGGCATAGCGTGCGCCGGAGCCCTTTCGGCACAAGGGGGCTGGTATTTTTGGGTGCGTCTTAACATCCCGGTTGACGTTGGAAGGGGAGCAAAAATTCAAATTTTAGCGGTTAAGTGGTTGGATTTCAACCACTAAACCATAAACAGCAAACATGTAAAATGCTTCCCAACAACCACCATGACATAGGGGGCCCAAAAAGTGGTCACCGAAAAGGGGTACCCTCACTTGAGGAGCGGGTGAACGAAAGCTAGCAGTTGTTGCATGAGATGGGTCGGTGACAGAGTGGATTCAGAGGTAGCTTGTGTACAACGAGAGGCCCGGCAAGATTCGTAGGATGCGACATGCAAACGCACATGGTAGCGTGGCAAACCTTGAAAAATGAAAACAACGAGAGGCGTCAGAAGCTGTCTTAAAGCACCTCTGGGTTCTGCATGCTGCGTGTGCAAAGATTCTTGCGAGGTGGTTTACTGAGAAGACTGAGGTCTCAAATGAAGCAGCTGAATCGGTGGAACATGTAAAAGTTCATAACACCAAGTCCAAAACGGTCAAACCGAGACTGCTGAAACACTGAGCCACTGCCCGGGGGGAGGGGTGGACCAAGGAGGAATCGAGCCTGAGATGGGGGGGGGGGGGTCTAAATAATTGATTTGTTTCAATCTTTTCGGCTCAAATAATTGAAAAAATCAATCTTTCGGCAGTTGAGCCCCTTACCTTGCTTACGCAAGGAGAAACTTCAGCTAGCTAAAGCTAGCTTTCGTGAAAACAGACAGTCATGTTCAGCTTTAAAGCCATCAGCAGTAAAGGCGGCCCTTGGTATCCTGAAGAACCCTTGCTGAGACTTTGGTGCCTGTCTGCACCAAAAAGATTCCCGATCGGCCAAGTCGCGAGAAACAAAAACCAATCAGGCCACTGCTTGGAGGAGATGAGCAGGTATCCAGGCATCTCCTATCCGGTCAAGCACCTGCCTGGGGATAGGGTTGAGGTCCCGTAGTGCAAACATGGGCGGCCAGAAATGGGTATGGGTGGAAAAGGACCACCCAAAAAATGCGGGTTTTCCGTTCAGTTGTCATTGAACCAACCCAACAAAAGGGCACCCTCCCAAAACACACACACACACAAACACAACTGGAGATCCCTCCAATTGCATTCTTCAGGCTTCAGGGGTTGTGTATATCGACAAGAAACTCTGAAGGTCTGAACAGCTACCGCATGTCAATGTGTAGGCAACTGGTTAGAAAACCACCGTGTACCATCTGGAGGTAACAGAAACAAGTTGGTCAGCTGTCAGGCATGAATTGCCATGGGACTCACCACGCAGACTCTTGCACACTCAAACGGACGCACAAATTCACACATTCACCATTCACCTGCTTCATTTGCTCAAGCCCCCGGACAAAATGAGCAAATACGTCCAGCAGTAATACTCCCGCTTCAACACCAACAGGGGAAAATCACAAATTTATCCTTGTATGAGCAAATGGAAGCCTGCACTTTCACTCTGCCACGAGCACAAACTTATACACTCACCTGCAACTCACTTGCCCAAAGGACCCAGAAATAAAAGGTTAACCTTTTGGGGCCATGACTAAAAATGGGCCAAAACTGGAAAACCAAAAGGTTTAAAAGGTCGATTCGCTTTGAGCAACTGAGGCAAATTCACACACCCCGAAACACTCACGATCACGCATTCGGCTGCCAAGCCGTCCTCCAGGACGAACTGCCCCGGCTTCCCGGGCTCCCCGCGCTTGCCTACGACGTGCAGGTAGCTGCTGAAGTCGTCCTATCGAAACGGTCCGTCTGATCGAAAAGTGACGAACCTTCGCTGGGTGCAATGGGGAAACTACGACTAAAACCAAAAACCTGAATCACTAAGTGGGTGAAATGGGGAGCATACGACTAAAACCAACGAAAAACCTGTGTATATATATACATACAAAGGAGAAGGGACCGGATGGCTGGGAACCACCAAGAAAGCAGTGGTCCTGCGGGCTTTGGGCTTCGCGTTGAACCACAAAGGGGCCGCACAAGGCTCCAACCCCAAGCTGCCATTTACCGAAGATCTCCCCTGCAAAACAAATGAACGACAATCCAGCAACAGTGATCGATGTGTTTAAATCCCACAGGCGGAAAATATTTATCTAGGTCCTTCAGTAGAGAGGTTAGAATGAGGGCGCCCTTTTTTTGTGTAGTCTATTTTAGTAGACGAAAACCCTCCCAACCAAAAAGGCTGGTAAACTCCCCAAAAAAGGTTGGTAAAAGTGCACTACTGGGGGACCTAGACATTCCCGCATCTGTGCCAATTCCCAAGCCTTCCGAAAGGGATTCTCAGGATCTTCGTGGGCGATTCGGCGATTCGGCTAACCGGAAGGAGCAAAAGCCCCGAAACTGCTGCAGGACTCCGGTCGGTTCTTTCTTCCCAAAAAGAAGCCCCTGTCGGTGTTTCTTTTGGCGGGCACACTTTCCGGTGTGTTAGCAGGGAAACAAAACAAGACAAGCCAACATCTTGGGCTCCTCAAACAAACTCGAATTTTTTGAGCCTTCACGAGCCGAAAGAAGTGCTTCGGCCACTGCTCCGTGGAGATCAGGAAGTGCCCTTCCCGCTCCTCGCCGCTCCGAAGTTTCAGGTCTCCAGTCGTCTCCCGTCGTCTCCCGTCGTCTCCCGTCGTCTAAAGACACCCCAGGACACCAAAAGGAAAGCTGCCATTTGGGGGTCCCAAAAAAACAATGTCACACCCGCATGGCACAATGTCCTTGGGGTTGTCCCATCAACAGGGCCCCAGAAAAAGGCCGAAACCGGTTTCTGTTTGATGTTCCCTTCAAAACCACCCAACGAAAAGGCACCACTCAGAACAAGACACGCGGAACCCTTGGGAAAGCAACGGGGATGAGTAAGCCAACATGGGGAGACCGTGCCATCAACTTTCACCCCAGACATTTTCTCATGGGGTCAAAACTTCGAGACACCAAAAGGGCTCGTAGATGGCTCCTGTTTCAAGGCCTGGGCAGAAGTGAGTCCTCTGCGCAGGTTGATGATCCCTTGCAAGACGTTGTAAGCTTTAATGGGCACGTCATACAATTTGGACAAACGAACAAGCGGGGATACGGAAAGGGAGCGGGGGGTCTGGGGGGGATTCTCCCTTGGCGCCATTTCAATAAATATCAAACTCGGTCAAGGTGCAAATAGGGGGATCCCTAGTTCCCGCTGTATCCTGCTAGTTGGTTTCCCTGAACAATCTGAATTCGGAGAAAAGAACGCAACGTCCGAAGGTATGGCAGTTCTCGTCAGGACCCGGCACCCTTTTAAGGGGAAAGCCAAAAGAGGTTGTTTAAACAAGGGCGGCAAACAAACGCGCAAAACAAGGGCTTGGCCCAACCCGGCTTATCAGGGACCCAATCATCCCCTAAAAATAAATTACCTCAAAGACACAACTAGGTCCTCCAGCAGAGAGGTTAGAATCAGGGTGCCAACTTTTTTGTCTGTCTATTTTAGTAGACGAAAACCCTCCCAACCAAAAAAGTTACGGTAAAAGTTGGCACGAATCGCTGGGGCACCTAGCAAATACTCCAGGCAAAATTGGATGAAAAGACCAAAGAGTTCTCTGTGTCAAGGCTCCCGGAGCGGCATTTCAAGAAAGCTTGCCCACTCCAAATGCCCTCTTTTTCAGGGGATCCTGTCGACCCTCTACTAAAACAGCAGGTATATGTACCATGGAAAACCCGGTTTTCCCAAAACTCCCCTCAAAAAAGCGGGGATTTTGAGTAGGGGGTACAAGTTGTCTGAAACCATGTCCCTCCAGAACCCCGGTAGCTCTGAAAGGCTCCCGTGGTGAAGGCAAACATTTGGATACGTAGCCCTGGCTCCACGGCCAAAACGGGCTTCGGGACACCAAAGGACTCCGATTCATTGGAACCTTAATGCAGATAGAAGGGACAAAAGTGGGTCGAAAATAGGTACCCAACATGGGTTGCCCTGATAAATGAAAACATTGACTTATTCCTGCAGATTATCCCCCTGATGGCTTAAGTTTGACCCAAAAACATCCATCCCCCCAAAAAGGTTACCAACTCAAACACAAGCCACTCCCTCAGTTTAAGGGAAACATACAAGGCCAAAGACACTCCACTGCTGTCGATGACAAATCTGCTTCGCACAAGTTTGGCGGTGTATATCTCCCCGTTGCAGGGTTTCCTCTATCCTAGGTGCAGACTTCCGTCAACGTTGTCAACTTCGGATTGCTGGAAAACCGCACCAATTGGGGGGGTCCCTTTCAGAAGAAATGAACTACCCTTCCTCCCACTAACATGGCACCTGGGGGTTTCTTTCTAGTCGCGTCCTCCAAATCCAAAGTCAGCAAATGGCAGCTTCCCATTTATCCTCCAGAACCAGGCGATCTAAATCATTTGAGGGGAACCTGAGGGCGCAATGTTGCCCCCCGGATTCTGCACCTATGGTTGATTTTGAGCGGCTGGTGTCCCGTTTTGGCCGGGTCTTCACCCCCAACCTGAATAAGCGGGTTCCACGTAGATTGGAGGCCAATGTGTGGTACCAGCAGCCCCTCCCGGAACCTGAAGCACAAGCCACTCCGAACCACAAGGACCCTACCTGGGAGTCCCGAAATATAGGGACCATGAACAACCACGCCCCTGACCTCCAGGAGACCCCGAAAACAACGGAAAAGGCAAAAAAGCAGGGACGCCGGCGCGCGCCGCTGCCCCCTCCCCCCCCCCCAAAAAAAAAAAAGGGAACCGCAACCGAAACCGGGCGCGGAACTCCGTGGCCGAGCGATCGATGTGCCGATCGATCGGTTGCTTCCTGGAAGACGAGATGCCCCGCAGGGCCGGGATCGCCATCCCAGCCGCTCACTGTTCCGCTGGGGTTGTTGCGAAGACTCACATACCTGGCAGCGAGCGAGCGAGTCAGGAACGGGATTCCAGGGGTTGATTCCAATTCCATTCTTTTCAATCATCGTTCTGTTCAAAAACCGGTTGTTTTCCCTGGGTTTCTGGAGGTTTTCTGGAAAGAAGGATCCCCGGAAAGAATGGCGAAGGTTCCCCTAGAGGGATGCGACTAGGTGCCACTTCCCGGCTTCGGCTTTGCTTCCCATTTCTGGGCTGGCCGTTTTCTGATCTAAGTGACTAAGGATTAGTGGGTTGCTAAACCAACGAAAAAGCTCAAAAGACGAGTTCTTGTAAGGGGATGGCTGGGAACCACCAAGATTTGGGGGATCTTCAAATAGGAATCGGATCCCCCAAGACTTGATTTCCGTTCTCCTCTAGGTTTCCCTTTAAGTCCAACAAGACTGGGGCACCCTCCACAAAGGGAACCACTGGGATACCTCACCATCCGCAAGGACTCCGCCAGGTGTTTCATTGTGGTTTCCTCTTACCATCCAGCGCAGCCCTTTGAGAGGCACCCATAATAGGTCCTCCAGTAGAGAGGTTAGAATAAGGGTACTCTTTTTCTGTAGTTTATTTTAGTAGTAGGGGAACCCTCTCCCAACAAAGGGTAAAAGGGGCCTACTGAGGGAAAGAAGGTTTAGAAGGAACCTGTCTACTACTGGAACTACTTGAGCTGGCCCTCTCTAAGAATGCACGCACTTGCGCGTGGTCTTTAAGACTAGATGCGCTGCACGTGACAAAGCTGCGAAAAGCTGGAACATGTGAGAACCGGGAATAGGCTGGGAGCAGTCTCGGACCATTTTCGGAGACGGTGCTCATCGGCACGGCCGTGGGCGCTGTTTCGCAACCGTGGAATGTTGGGCACTCACAAGCACAGCCTTCCGTTTTTCCATCAGCAACCCAGCTGGGGCGCTATGAGCATGCAGGCAAAATACCCCAGTGAGAACTACCCTCTGCGGAAGTTGGGTGGGTCGACCCTCAAGATCTTGTCGATATTTCGTTCGATGTTCGCTTCGCTCGCGCAACCCTCTGCGTTTTGCTTTCCGGGGTCAACCTTAAAAAATCCTCGCAACGTTCTGCGGTTTCACTTTAGCGGGCTGTAGAGATAGAGAGAGAGAGAGAGAGCGAAAAGAAAAAAAGAAGGAAGAGAAAGAGAAAGGAGAAAACAGAAAAGAGAAAAGAGAAAGAGGAAGAAGAAGGGACAACTGGAAATAGAGAAAGCAATGATGAAAAGGAAGAGAAAGAACAAAAGCAAGACGGAGAGAAACAAAACGAGGAAGGAAAAGAGAAGATAAGGAGAATAAATAATAAGAGAGAGAAACAAAGGCAAAGACAAAGACAAAAAAAAGAGAGAGAGAGAGAGAGAGAGAAAGAGAAAGAGAAACAGAAACAATAGAAAGAGAAGGAGATAGAGAGAGAGAGAGAGAGAGAGATAAAACAAAAAAAAAAAGAAAAGAGAAGAAGCAAGGAAGCGTGCTCCAAACCATTCTTATATTTTTGAAACTTCCGACCCCCCCCCCCCCCGCGCCCAGGCTTTGCTTCCTTCCCCACTTGGAGCCGACTCGGTTTGGTGGTGGAGTGGAGAACCAGATCTACCCTGGACGCAGGAATCCAAATCCAAACCACCAATCCAAACCACTCCTGAAGGGTAACCTGAGCTGCCTGAAAGCTGCTTCCTGAAAAAGGGAGAAAACACTGCTTGATTCCCATACCCTGGGCTGTTCCAGATCTAATTTTCAGTGAAAATTCGGAAACCCAGCCACTAAACCAACTAAAAAGCTCTAAGGAAGCGGATGGTTAAAAACCCAAGATTTTCGAGGGTCTGCGGAAAAAAAAAGCACACCCAATTCCAAACCACCAATCCAAATCACCAATTCATGGGAGGCTGCAAACATCCGTTTCTCTCTTTTCCATCACCACTTTAGCCGAGGGTGATGTAAGCTGGTGCCAAACATGTAGCCAAAATCCAAACCAAGTGATCATCCCATCGTCTCCACCAAAAAGTGGTTTGCCGGCAAAATCCTGAACCCCCAGCCCCGGCAACAACCCGTCCTTTGGGGCCACGTCCTCACTGAAAGCAAAATCTCACCGGCCATGGTTCCATGGACCTCAGCTGGCGATTTATTTTTCGTGCCCACAGCAAACGCAGAAAAGAGGTTCAGGGTGTGGTTCTCTTGATAGAAACTCGGGGTGTTTTTCTGGGTGTCCCCTTTGAAACCAACCAAAAAGGGGGTCCTAAAAAGAAGACAAACCCAGAACAGGGGTATAAAGAGTGGCCCTTAAAAGACCAACCAAAAAGGGGGTCCCCAATGGGGAGGGGGAGGTGGGGGAAAAAATAGGCATGCAGGCTGCCACGTTAAACAACAAACTGGGCTGTCCTCAGATCCCCTGCCAAAAAGCGACTATGGGTTAGATTTCGGAAACCCACCAACCAACTAAAGACCTCTCTTGAAACGGATGGCAGGGAACCACCAAGTCCTGGAGGGGGCCCACCTCATTTTCCAAAAAAAAAGAAGGTCAAGGGAGTCAACTGGCAAACCCTCTTCTGGCCAACCCTTAACGGGGGAACAAGCAAGCAAATCATCTTCCACGTGCTCCCACTCACGCGGACACGGAGGACACTGGGAAGGTTGCCTCTGGTATATCCTGGAGAAGAGCTTCCGGTATGAGCCATGACCAAGATGTGAGGGTACCAAAACAGACCTCGGGCTCGTTTCAATATGAAAGGAGGACCCAAATTTTGCCGGTTGTCTTGTTGGTTTCTCTTGCAAAGCACACACCCTCAAAGCACAGTGTACCCTCAACGTGAACAGTGAACCCTCAAAGCACACACCCACATGGGTGTCTATTTTTGAGGACCTGGTGGCTTCCCCTTTGTATCCCTTTGAACCTGTAGCAGTCGCGACAAAGAGGCCCAAATGGGAAATCTTACCAGTCTTCTTGGACCCCAAACTACCGGATATGTTGCGCGAACCTCAGAGGCTCATATGCTCCCTCGAACAAGGCAGGAATCTTGTCGGGCGAGGTCTCCCTCAAGAGTTTTTGTGAGGTTTCTCAGTTGCCCTGAGACTACGCTTCACACAAAGGGTAGCAAGTGCCCACTCCACAGCTGTCGTAAGGAACCTTGTCCCGACAATCCCAACAGGGAAACGACTTTTCCAGAAGAATAGCTTTTTCAGGAAAAAGAGGGCTCGAGTTCTTCCCAAGCCCCTTTTGCAAGGCGTTACCGAGCTCGGCTTCGAATCTGGGGGTTCGCATCCCCGATGTGGCCAGTCCGACAGGAGGCTGTCCATCTGTTTTTTTTCGTCAGCGGCCTAGAATTCGTTGAAAGGGACCCAAGGATCGTCTTGAAAGGGACCCAAGGATCGTCCCAAGGTCAGGCCGCAAAAAAAAAACAACGTCCAAGTGCCGTCTGGTCCACCGTCAATATCTTTCCGGGCGGCGCATGACAAATTGCTGAGGCAAGCGAAACTCGAACCAAAGCTGCGGTGAGTCGCAGTGAGTCACGGCCCTCGACACCTTGAGTCCTTAAGCCTGTAACCAAGCCTGTAACCATGCCTAAAAGGAATGAATCTCCAGATTAGTACCCGGCAAGATCACTTGCTTCCGCCCAAACAAAACACATGGGAACATTTTGGGTGATCCTCCTAGATTGTGTGGTAAATTTGGGTGGGCCATATACCCTTTTTCAAACAATCCACAAACTCTCCGCAACTGTGTCGCTTGCTCCGTGGTTTCGTATGGTCCGCATGATTTTCAAAACACTGGCCAACGAGGGCCAACGCATCAAACTTCAACGACTATACCAGAAACGGGTGTCTGAATTCTTGGGGACCCCACCCCCACACCCCCCCAACCAAAAAAAAAGAAAGGAAGGACCAAAAGTGTGGTTTGCCTTTTCTTTTCTCTTTACTTGAAGCCAACCAAACCAGGGGGTGCTCCAAAAAGAACGGATCCCCCCACGTTCGAGCGCCGACCCGCCAGCTGCGGCAGTGGGCGCCTTGCTCTGCTCGTTCTTGATGGCGCTGGTCTTCACCAGCTTGCCTGGCGGCGCTTCCATCATGGCGTGGCTGGAATTGGGACCCCAGCAAAAAAAAAATATCTTAGGGGCCCAAAAAAGGCGCCAAAAAAATCAAACCGAAAGGGGAGCTAGTTCTGGGGAAGATGGCGCTGGCCACTGTTCTAGGGGTAACTTCTGTCATTATGCAAACAGTTGTCCGGGGTGAACCTGTGGGTAGGGGATGGCTATGGGTCGTTCCCTCATTTCCGCATTCAGTGCTTGCAGTTGATTTTGACTTCGCATCTAAGTAGCACCCCTGTTTCTTCATATGGGGATGGAGTCCGCTGCACCCCAGACCCTGCATCCCACCCACCCCACCCCCACCCCACCCCCACCCCACCCCCACCCCACCCCCACCCCACCCCCACCCCACCCCCACCCCACCCCCACCAACCCCACACCCCACCACACCCCACCCACCCACCCCCACCCCACACCCCACCCCACCTCCTGCTCAGCTCAAACTTCAAAAAGCCCTATGCAGGAATCCACTCTCCTAGAAGCCCATATTCTCCAACAGAAGCCTCCAATAGCTTCTGCTCAGCTCAAACTTCAAAAGGCAAAACGGCCCATATTCTCCAACAGAAGCCTCCAATAGCTTCTGCGCAGCTCAAACGTCTGAAATGCCTGAACCACAGACTGCTTTAGTGGGGACACGCGTGGGGCACCAGAATAGACCATATCTATAAACAAAAATGTACCTCCCTTCTCTACCCCCACCCCCTACCCCCATACCCTTACCCCCACCCCACCCACCACACACCCAAACCCCTTCGGCCAAGTTGCATCGAGCCGCGAACTTCAGGGTACTCACCGTCTCCTGCAGTTTGCCCGTGGGGTTGGGCGTGGTTTGCGGGCTTGGTTCTTGGAAAAGCTGCTCAAAAGGGCTATGTTCCCCTTCAAACCAACAGGGAAAAGAACAGAAAGATCCATTTCAGCAAATGGACATTTTGGCAAGAAGTTTCCCGAAGCCCGCAAACCAATGACTAGCTGGGGGACCAAAAGAAGTCCAAAGGGGGTGGACATTTTTTAGGATTTGGAACCTGCAAACTGGCAACGGTTTCCTTTTGGTTTCCCTTTGCCAATTAAACAGGTTACAACAGCCCGAGGATTTTGCCACAAAGTCACCTCGCTTGGCAAGCTGTAAGTTCAAGTTGGAAACCACCAACCAGCTATTGACTTTTCTACCCCCAAGGAAGTGAACCAACAGAATGACACCAGCATCCGCTGTTTTTGAGTTTGCAATCCCTCGGTGTTCCGACTGCGATCCACCCAATCCAATTGTGAAGCCCGGCCAAAAAGCGACGTGAGTCAGCTCAAAAACACCAAATGGCGAGCTTTTTGCACAGCGAACGGCTGTGCATCGAAATCGCTCGCGAGAGGACTCCTCAAGATTGAAAAGGGATGGGCTGACACAGGCGAGGAGCTCCGTCCGGCTGTTGCCCATCAAGGCATCCTGGCTTCACAAAAGCGGCGCTCGCATTCTGCTTGAGGCGAAGCAAAAAGGGTTCAGCGACTGCGGTTGTTGCTCTTCTCTGGTAAAACAGGTGCGCCCTTTTCTTTTGGTTTGCACCCCTCCAAATTCTGGCGGAAAAGAAGGACAAACCCAAATAAAGTTACTTCACTTTTTGCCAGGAAGGGACAATGCAGGAACACCAAGAGCAAGTTGAACCGGCAAGCCAAGTCTGCAGTCAGACCCTCCAAAAGCCAGGGAGTTGTTTTTTCCACACTTCTGCATCTGTGTCCCTTACAACGTGGGCTCATGACCCCATTGTGGGTAATGATTTTGTAAGGGTCAGGAGACTCCAGGTACCCCCCGCAGGTCTTGGGGCTCCTCCGACTGCCAGCTCAGGAGACTCCAGGCTACCTTCCAATTCCATTCTTTGGGATCCGAATCTTTTCAGGAAACCACCAAAAACCCCAGGGGAAAGAGCTGGCTCTTGAAAAGAGTGGTTGAAAGAATGGAATTGGAATCAACCCCTAATCAAGCTCACCATTTGGCCAGAAAGGCACCAAACAAACTATCAGCTTCCCTCTATTTCGTGGCTTTGCTTAGGTTCGGGGTTTCCCGTTTGCCCTCTGCAAGAACTGTTCGTGTTTCCCGGATTGTCGCCTTCAGGAGGAGCGTGAGCTTAGATTCCCGGAAGGCCGGCACTGACCTGCGAGACACAAAACCGGAAATCCACGTTTGGACCGGGAAATCCACCCCGCTTCCCTGAACTTGGCGCGTCTTCTTTTTAGGAATGGTGCTGTTTGGGGTGCTCTTCAGGGTGATGGTGCGGGCGCATTCTTGCTCTATTGACCGAGACGGCCGGGGGCGTTTTTCGGGGGGGGTGACCACAGGATTGCCTGAAGGTGGCGGTCGCCGCGTCGTGCTTTTTAGGAGTGGGACCAAGGGACGAGCAAGGTGTTGACCGGGGGGGAAATGATTCCATGAACCCGGCGCGCCTTTTTTTCACACATCGGGCCCGCCCAACATGGATTCGGTGGCCTTGTGTCCCTTTCCAAAACATGCGACGCAGGACTTTACCACTCACGAAGGTGCTGCCCGTTAGCTCCCATATCGCCTGGTGCAGCCCAGTTGTCCCAGGAGACATGGGCGGACGTGTGTGGGGTGTACTTTTTTTGTTAGGTTTCGGGAAGCCGAATGGAGAGCCAGGAAGTCCCTCCCGGCCTGGTCCCTGGGGTCGTCAACTCGGAGATGACCTGAGCGAGTCGAAGGGCCCAGCGACCGGCCCGGCTCCACGTTGGGAGTGTTGAACACAGATTTGGTGGAAGATATGGCTCTGACTTTTTGAGGGTACCCTTTTTCATGGGTTCGAGGGGAAACCGAGAAGAAAACGCGCCCATGTTGCCCCCCCCCCCAAAAAAAAAAGCAAGAGAGCAGTTGTTTTATTATTAGTATGATCATTACCAGTATTATCATTATTATTATTATTGCTATTGTTATTGTTATTGTTATTCGTACTACTATGTATTAGTTTTAATATTATCATTATTGTTAGTATTATTATTATTATTATTATTATTATTATTATTATTATTATTATTATTATTATTATTATTATTAGTAGTATTATTATTATTATTATTATTATTATTATTATATTATTATTATCTATTATTATTGTTAGTTATTATTGTTATTATTTAGTATTATTAACATTATTATTTATTAGTATTATTATCATTATTATTAGTGTTGTTAGTGTTATTGTTATTGTTAGTATTAGTATTATTGTTATTAGTATTATTATTATTATTGTTGTTGTTATTATTAGTGTTATTATTATTATTGTTATTGTTATTGTGATTACTATTACTATTTATTAGTATTAATAATATTATTATTATTATTATTATTGTTGTTGTTATTATTGTTATTGTTGCGATTATTGTTATTATTATTACTATGTATTATTATTTAGCAGTATTATTATTATTGTTATTATTATTATTATTTAGTATTATCATTATTTATTATTATTATTATTATGATTGTTGTTGTTATTGTTATTGTTATTGTTATTAGTATTATTATTATTATTATTAGTAGTATTAGTATTATTATTATTATCATTATCATTATCATGATGATTATTATTATTAGTATTATCATTATTATTATTATTATTATTGTTGTTGTTATTGTTATTGTTATTGTTATTATTATTAGTATTATTATTATTATGATTATTATTATTATCATTATTATTATTGTTATTATCATTATTATTACGGCCCCTGATATCATGCACCCCTAGAAACGGCAATGGGGGTGGGGCTATCCCGTAAGCCTAAAAGCCAAGGACAAGCCCTTAAAAAAGGCGCACTAAGCGGTCAAGGGATAGCCCCCCCTCAGTTCGCCCCCCCCTCAAGGGTCCATGCAGTTTTCTCCCAACCTGGCGAACCAAGCTCCGTCACCTACCCAAAACATCACTCATATGGGGATGGATCAATATTCCGTTCGGCTCCCAACTGGCCATGGGCAACTGTCCCCGTGCGATTGAACTAGCGTCCATCCAACCCGAGGCGTGCGGCATAATTTCAAAGAGATCCCTGCTGCGAATCTTGCTCTGCCCATTGCGTGAACCCCTTCTGTGATGCAAAAGTGGTCCAGCCTGGAAAATGGCGTCACTTTCAAAGGGGGTCCCCTGATATCACAGAAAATGGCAACCTAAAAAAATATGCTTTCCAACAATTCCTAGGGGACTGATATGAAAATGTTAACCTGATGGAACCACCAAACATGGGGGCCCAAAAGGGGAACAGCAAAAGGCCAACCACTCTAAGAAACCGGAAGGACATTCTCGCGGACATCATTGCTTTGGGCGGGTGGTTGGCGCGTTTCCTGTAGAATTTCATGCTATGGGAAAAAAAGCAATTTCTATGAACAACAACGCACAATTGGTTCACACTGGGCTTTACTATATATTCCCTATTGCACCAGCCAGTAAAGGCCTTCTTTGGAATATGTCTTGGGCGCTGCTGACGTAGCAGCCTCTCAGTCTGGCGCTCTGCCCAAGGTGGTCAGCGAGAGGTTGATGCCGATGCCCTCCTGCGGGACTCACCGGACCTCATTTACTCGGATGGGGAAGAAAGGGGCATGGACGCTGGCGGTTGACGTCAAACAAAAACACCTACTTGGCTGTGGCTCAAAAAATATAAGGTACCAAACCGGTACCAAAATGGGTTGCCCGATCGGTAAGTGGAAACATGGACCAAAACCTGCGCTTTGCCCCTCCTGTTTTGTTTTGAGCCACACCGACATTGACTCGTAGCAAAAACGTTTAGGTGCCACTGGGCAACTGGGCTAGCAGTTCATGGTGCTGCCCCATGACATTCCCATGGTACTTGTTCATGTCCCAATGTGCCCAGCATCGCGGACAAACTCCCGCACCTATGGATGAAACCCTCTTGACACCAACCCCCTGCGGATTTGGTGCCATCTACCTGAGTTGCGCTGCGGCCCCCGCTGGAGACAAGGGAACCCTGGGGTTGACCTTTGGAAGTGGGGAACCCAAACAAAAAACAAATCGGACACGTGCCAGTGAACAACTGGGATATGAATAGGTTACCTCACTTTAGAGCGCTTGCAAACACACGCCTGCAAATCGCCGGACAAACTCTTCTCTTGAAGCTGGGGGGGGGGGTACAACCTGTATCTAGAATAATAAAAGGGTGTGTATATATATATATGTATAAATATATATATATATATTTCTGTACATCTGGGGCAGGGCAAAGCGCACCAGTTCCCCGTGCCGCCCTGAGAGCGGAAGCCGCGCTCCTTGAGCCTTTCCCCGGCAGCTCCAGTCTTCTTCTGCCTCCCGAGCCCGGCTCCGGCGCTTCGGCTTCGGCCGAGGCTTCGGCCGAGTGGCCGAGCCTTGGTGGCCTTCGCGTGTCCGAACGATTCGCTGTTGGGTTAAATGGTTTTGGGTCAAATGGCTTTTTGCCGAGTTACGTTTGGGTTGGGCCGATAAAAGGAACAGAATGGCTTTGGGTCAAATGGTTTCGGGTTAAATGGTTTTGGTGTTGGGTTAAAGATTCGGGAATGTGCCAAAACGTAATCAACTGGGATCCCCGGTCTATCGATTTGAAGAGGAAACTAGCATGAAATCATCCATTTGGATGGGGTCCCTTTCGACGCAGACCTAGCCTCGTAGTGAGGGGCCTGCATTTCCAACCATAGTGAGGAAACAGGAGCAAAGCGCCTGAGCTTTTTTGCAGGCCGGCGATCTCGATATCGCCGACTAGCCTTGCGGGGTACCAATCAGCAAACAACCTTGCACAACGTTGGCTCTTGCCAGGCCAGTCAAATCTACTTGCTTATTCGCGCCTAGAAAACATATAATATGTCCAGTAGTGAAATCGGTTCCCTTTACAACCAGCAGGGGACAATAGCACATATCCATTTCAGCAAATGGAAGCTTCAGGGGCGTCCAAGACCCGTTCAAGACGAGAGGAGACCATATTTGCAATGAAGTAGCAAGGCATTCAGGTGCCCTTCAACAACCCAAAGACCCCCTTTCGGGCTAGGGCATGTGAGACGAGTAGCTCCCTAGAACCTTTTTTTGCCCAGTTCCCAATCCAAGCCGATCCAAACCACCAAAAAGGGGGACCGAGGCTCAACAAAAAGACGATCCACCCGTGTCCCGCGTTCAAACCTCACGCCGACGAAGGCCTCTCGCTTCCCGCTAGGTCCACGAAGTGGGTCTTGGCCTGAGCGCGGTCCGAAACCACACCCAACGTGTGTTGGGTTTATTGAATAACTATACACTTATCCACTGCCACTGGAAAGAACATGGCCAGCCCAAAAACCAGTGTACACTTTTTGGGTCAGCTCTAAACTGAAGGGGAAGCCACGAAGAAAAACAAATGTTGAGGTGTGTCCACTGGCTGGGTGAGATACACATATGTGGGATTGCTGGGTCAATATAAATACTCCCATAGCTTGAGGCCCTCCAACAATTGTTTCCAACAAACAGAGCCACTCCTTTTAACATATTTTGGGAAAGCAACAGGAAACCCTTCTAGTATTTCGGAGGGGTTGCCCTTCTAAACAAAACATGATCTTGCTGGTGCTCAACAGGGAAGGAGGGAATGACCCCTATAAACAATCCCTTGTGGTGTCCATTATTCGGAAGAATCCCCAAAGCCGGTTCATTCATCCAAACCTGGTGAAGGTCATTCCCCACCTATCGCACCGGCAACCAAACCTCCTCTTGCAGTGAACCGTTCGAAACCCTTCTGGTGGTCGAGCCTCGAAACGAGTTCAATGTGACTTCCGAAAAGCACCCTACCGGGTTCTAAGAAACGGACCGTAGCATGCGAAAAGGACTCATTTGGGTGTGATTCCCTTTTTTGAGTGTACCCCTTTTTGGTTCGAAGGTGAAGGAATGGTTTAAAATTATATAATTAGAAGGGTCATTCCCTCATTCCCTGGTCCCTCAAAAAAGCCACCCACCTCTTTGGGTCGCGTCATTCCCTCATGCCCTGCTGAGAACGAGCAAGTTTCGGAGGTCCCTCAAAAAAAAACGGCGACGAGCCACCAAAAATAAAACACCTTAAAAATGGGCTGGAATTCGGGCCCCAGCAAAAAAATATATTTTTTGCCTGGCTAGTGGAAAGCAAAGGGGACCCCAAAAAAGCAAAAAAGGGCAAAAAGGGGAGCCTTTTTTCTGGGGAAGAAAAACGGACGGTTTGCTTTTGAGAAACAAGGAGAACCGAAGCCATTTTGGGGGTCCACCTCAAAAAAACAAAAAGACGAGCCACCCAGCTCTCTGGGTCCGGAACCCCGCGCCTGGCTCTCCACGTGCCCCCCAGCTCGAGCCGTGACCATGCGCACCTGGCAAGCATCGGAAGCATGGCGGGTCAAAAACCGGTGGATCGGCCCTCCAAATTTGAGAGGTTGGAATAAGTTGGTACCAACTTTGTTCTGCAGTCTATTTCAGAGGTTGGAAGGGTACCAACTTTTTTCTCTAGCCTATTTTAGTAGGGGAAACCTCTTAACCAAAAAAGAGGTGAGAAAGGGCACTACTGGGGGACCTAGGTTGGTAACCCCAAAATGGGTCGCCCGATTGGGAAAACCTGTGGCGTGCCTGATGGTGTATTTTTGAACCCATGTGGGCCTGGTTGCTCGTGGGAACATAGGTCTGATGATACTGGGCTGTGCTCAGATCCCCTGCTACAAGCTCGACTTTTAGCTTCTGGCGGTGTGGAAGCCCCCACGAAATCCTAAAAAGCTAAACAGCTAAGGAACCGGATGGGAGCCGCCAAGATTCGCCTTGAAACAGGGGAACATACAACAAGACTCTCGAGTGGAACCTGGTGGCCGGGACGGCTCTGCAAAAAGTTCAATGGGGAAAATCAACCAAGGGTCCCCAATTGGCTGTGGGTCAAAAATAGGTACCCAAAAACGGACCCTTGTAAATGGAAACATGGACTAAGACCTGCGGTCCCCTGGTGGTTTAATTTGCACCCACAGCTAATTTAAACTCGCATCCCTGTCTGCACATGTACCCCCCACTACTTGATTGCTATTGGGTTGGACCTTTTGGCCTTAACTTGTGGGTTGAAATCAAGGATGTACGTCCACCAATCATGTTGGAGGGTGCGGACAATTCTCCCCCCCCCCCCCGGAAAAACAAAAAAAAAACAAGAACTTAAAACAAAATAAGATTGACCGTTGACCATTTTTGGAGACGAGTTTGGGGGTAGGGCAAGTTCTATGAGTTGTAGCCGTTTTGAGTTGGGTGGTTAGCTTCAAGGGCAAAAGAGAAGCTATCATTTGCTGGTCCCCCCTACTTTGACACATACCCATGTGCTTTTTAAAGCCACCACAACCATGACCAACTTTGGGGCATCGTCTTTGGGGCACCATCTTTGGGGCACCGTCCATGATAATGTTGGCCCCTTGCCCCCCAACTTCAAAGTTGGATGAGGCCCCTATTAACGCAAGCGCCTGCTGCACCATCTGCGTGTGCAACAGGGCCAGTTGCACTTGCTCGAGGGTCAAGGAGACTCTAAGCACTTTTTTGGGCACTCGACTGTTGCCTGGAGACAGGGCTCACCCCAAAGGAAGAGAAGAAGAAATCCTTGAGTGGCCTACCAAAAGGAGGGTGAGAGAATCCAATCGCCCATAGTCTCAACTTCCTGCATCAAAAAATGCACAAAGACAACTCCAAGCCGAACCAACTAAACATGATACTCCCATAACATGGCAAGAGCCAGGGAACTGGTTGTGAGTGAGCTACAGCATGTGCAACGCGTGTATGCATTAAGGCCATTAACAGTCTGCGGTAGTCTTAGGCCACCTGCAAATATTAAACTTGCTGCTGGCTAGTGGGCATCAGAGGGTAGCCAGCAAGGCCGTAGACGGAAAACAAACATCGAGAAGAATGCGCTGCAAATGTGTGAACAAAGGGACCGGGGCAAACACACCTTCCGAAGTCACACAAACACACACACACACAAGCACAAAATGGAAACAAAAACGCCCAAAAAGGCTGTGGCTCAAGTGAGGCGACCCCAAACAATCTCCGGTGAGAACTCCTGCAAGGCTGCAATTCCCGCGCTGCGCAAGGGGTTGGCAACAAAGCAACTAGCCCGGAGAAACCGGATTCCGAAGTAGCAACCTTCGACGGCGTCCGAATCTTCGACGTTGGGTTTGGGGAGCAAAAAAATGAATTTTAGCAGCCAAGTGGATTTGGATTGCCCACTAAACCACAATAAGCAAAAATGTAAAAAAAACAAAAAAAAAAAAAACAAAAAAAAAACAGCAACGACCATGGAATGGTTTATCCACCTTAGCAAAGTTGGCCAAGCTAACCCAACCAGTCTGACTTACTTTAGCAAAAATGACAAAGCCAGCCACACCTGCAGAGTGAACACTGCGTGAGACCTGCGCACAGGTCTCTGGAAATGCCTTCCAATCGTGGGACAGGCGACATATACAATGACCTGCTGAGTTGGCTGGACAAAAAAAGTTTGAACTTTACTAACTGCCAAAAGCTTTGTCAGTTTGCCAACTCAGCCGGCAAGTGCGGTCGCGAGCAAATAAATGGCGCCCTTCTTTTCTGGTCTAAGCCTCAATAGTTTAGTAGTTACCCCAAGGTAGACTTTAACCCAGGGTGATTGATTTCCCCAAAGGGAGGCAGAGGTCCAATCAAAGCCAGGGCCACTCGTATACGACCGCATACAGTGGCGCATGTTTGTTTGTCGGATTGTTTGGCAACTTTGCATTGAAGCCCTCAGTGCTCAAGGGGGTTTGACTTCATCTTCTCAATTCCTGTTTGGTTGTGCAAAAGAACAATGAAACTTGTTGTTTGGCACTTGGACTAAAACGGTCCAGACCCAAAACGTGACTGAAGTCCGAAACGGAACTCAGGGAGTGAGTTGAGAGGCTTATGGCTCCCTGAGAGACACAAGGCCTGCCAAGAAGCTCTTTGAGCCAAAGCGCACGTGTTTTCTTGGCTTTTTGGTTCCTGGCTCCACCCTAGTACCCATCCATTTGCTTAAGTCCCCTGGGAAAAAACATGTCCAGTAGTGATAGATTCCGTTTAAGTTCAACAGGGGAATAAGCAAATGGAAGGCTCCCCAAAGGCTCAACGAGCTCTGGGGAAATAGACTTGCGGACGCAGCGCGGGCTTTCAACAAAAGGGTGACTCGTAGATCTGTTTCAACCAGAAGTACGAACGATCTTTCTGCCGGACAGATCAAAGCCAGGACCAGTTGTTCAAGCTGTACACCCGGCGGTGCACAATTTGTCCTGGGGGGCAACGGTTCGTGGCAGAGACCTTCTCTGGAGAAAGCTACGGGTAAGGGCTGATATGTCAGAAACCACCACTGCCACCTCATGCTGGCCAAGGCAAGAAGGCAAGACTTTGCCAAACAACGAATGCTGCGTCTAAATGCGACCACGCGAAGCCAAATGAATCCGAACAAGGCAAAGCAATGCAAAACAATCCTGCAAAAACAAGAAATGACAGATAACGCTACATCATGCAACTAACCTCCCCAACTTTCCCTCAGCTTCCCAAAATCCCGAGACTTCCGAGACAAGAAAGACCATCCCATTTCATGCAACCTCAGGACCTTTCCCCAAGTTCCCCCAAAACCCCCAACAGCCATCAACTTCCAGAGTGGATTGCCCAGAAGAAGTTTACCACGAAAGTGGTCTACCCAAACCCAAAAAGCTTACTTAAAGTCCAGAGACAACCCACCCCACGTTCCCATCTCCAAAACCCACCCAACTTCCATTTACGAACACGCCTTCTGAGCAAACCTGTCCAGTGGTAGATTCAGAACCAAGGTTTTAAAACCAACCAAGAAGTTAAAACCACCAGCAACCATGTCCAGTGCCTGAAATGAAGCTGGTAATCTAAAACCAACAGGGGAAAATGTTCATTTCAGCCAAGGCCAGCGCCACCAGCCACCATCTCTCGCCCGCGGGTGCGCGCCGCGCGTGCCGTGAGCGCAAGAAAGGCCTGGAGGAGGTGGCGTTCATCTGAGTGGCGCCCACCGCCCGGCGCTTCGCGCCGAAATCCAGCAACTCGTGGGCCTGGGCAGGGAGGGAGGGAGGGAGGGAGGGAGGAGGGAGGAGGGGGGGGGGAGGAGGGAGGAGGAGGGGGGAGGGGAGGGGAGGGGAGGGGGGGGGGAGCAATTTTGGGGGTCTGCAGTTCTTGCTTCACGAGAATGAATAGTATTCATTCTGAAAAAATACCGATGAATTCAACAGATTTGGGGGGATAAATATTTCGGCTTGATTCTGATAGGGTTTCCTCCAAGGATCCAGCAACTCATGGGCCAGCAACTCACGGGTCTGCGGGGCAGGAAGGGAGGGTGGCGGGGGGTGGCGGGGAGGGAGGGGAGGGTGGCGGGGAGGGGAGGGGAGGGGAGGGGAGGGGAGGGAGGGAGGGGAGGGGAGGGAGGGGGGGAGGGGAGGGGAGGGGAGGGGAGGGGAGGGGAGGGGAGGGGGAGGGAGGGGAGGGGAGGGGAGGGGAGGGGAGGGGAGGAGCAATATTTTGGGGGTTTGAAGTTTTTGCAAGCAATAGGATTCATTCATTCATTCATTCATTCTGGAAATGTGCGCCAAATCTAGTAGATTTGGGGGGGCTAAATAATTCTGTTTGATTTTGATGGGTTTCCTCCAAGAGTCCGCTCAAAAAACTCAACCAGGGGTCGGTTGCTCCGACATTCTGTGGCCATCCTTTGACTCCTGCCCATGATTCCCTCGATTCCCCCCCAAAAAAACTTTGATGCTCCACCTATGCGAAAAGTGCGTGAAAAGAGTGCTAAAACTTCGGCTTTCCATGTCCACATCTTGCAATTGGCGTGGTGGGGCTCTGCCCTAATTTCATGACTAAATGAGAGAATCTATTTCTGCTAGAGCGACACAATTCCACACTTGAATCTCACTTCCGTGGATTGACCGACAAAAGTACCCAAACATTGTATTTTACCTCTAAAATGGTCTTGTTTAAAGTCCAACTCAGGAAGTCAGTGGATCTACCCTTCCTCCAACTAACAGAGCAATTGTGGGAGGGATCATTTTCTTGCAGCGACCATCTGCCAGCCTCTTCAAAGCTCTCAACCGGGCACTCGGTGAGGTGCGGCACAATGGGCCCCAGCTCTGGGTGGTTCCGCCTGATGCCCCAGGTCAGGTGTAGGTCTTGCGGGGGGATGTACCCTTGTCAAGACATGATATGTATATGCCTACATGTGTATATATATACATATATATATATATATATAAATACATAAATACATGCATATATATCTATATATACATGCTCCTATGTTCTATATAGTTTGGAACCCGACAAAAGAGGTCTGCTGCGTTATTGTCAGTTCCTTTTCAGGAATGAGCACGTACAAAAGTGCACATCAAAAGCTAGGGCTGGTTGGCAAAATCGACCCTAGTCATCCACCATACCGGGGGGGGGGGGGGGGGAGGGGATTTGGACCATGAATCATTAACGAACCCCAACGTCCTAGAGAGCTTCCTATGATGCAATTTCCACAATATAATACTGTCAATCACATCAGCATGGTGTGTTATGTATACGTATGTCAATGTATGTTCTATGTTGGCATGCGCGTACGTTCGTATGTACGCTCGCACGTATATACATATGTATGCATATGATTGTATCTGAACATGAAAGAAGCGAGAGATTTGGATAGCAAGGGCGACAGAAGTTGTTGGGACCCGACAACGGCCTACACAATGTTCAACCAGCATGCGTATGTATGATTTACATACACATACATATGTGTGCATCCATGTGTACGTATGTGTATGTGTATGCGAATGTGCATATGTACCTGCATATGTACCTGCGTATGTATCTGCATATGTATCTGCATATGTATCTGCATATGTATCTGCATATGTATCTGCATATGTATCTGCATATGTATCTGTGTGTGTGTGTGTGTGTGTGTGTGTGTGTGTGTGTGTGTGTGTGTGTGTGTGTGTGTGTGTGTGTGTGTGTGTGTGTGTGTGTGTGTGTGTGTGTGTGTGTGTGTGTGTGTGTGTGTGTGTGTGTGTGTGTGTGTGTGTGTGTGTGTGTGTGTGTGTGTGTGTGTGTGTGTGTGTGTGTGTGTGTGTGTGTGTGTGTGTGTGTGTGTGTGTGTGTGTGTGTGTGTGTGTGTGTGTGTGTGTGTGTGTGTGTGTGTGTGGATGTGCATGTGCATGTGCATGTGCATGTGCATGTGCATGTGCATGTGTACGTGTATATGTGTGTGCATATGTATGTGTATGTTTATGTGCATATGTATGTATTTGCACGTATATGCATGTATATGTATCTATATGTATGTATATGTATGTATATGTATGTATATGTATGTATATGCATGTAAAGGTACCAAGAGCGGTCGAGAGAGAGAGAGAGAGAGCGAGAGAAATGGCGCTGCATACCTTCCGAGTGCTGAATACTATCATATGAAAATTGGATTGAACCCGGCTCAACCCTTTAAATTGTCAACCATCAATCAAGTCAAGCTGCTAGCGATTATTATACGGAACGCTAAACATGTCATGGGATGAATTATAGTTGTCTTCAAGGAATGCTGTCCGTCCGGCAACATACAATGCATTTTGTTCGTTGTGTTTGGCACACTCTGTGTGTGTGTGTGTTTTCGACAAAGCATAAAAAACTATGATGATCAATACAGCAATGTGAGTCAACCAACGGGGACAACCAACAAAAACAACACAAAACAGCGACACACAGCAGTTTTTGCAAAACAGTTGTGGTTGTTTGTTTGTTGTTCCTAAGTTTCTCGTTGATTTGTTCGATGTGTCTCAAGTTGCAGACGACACGCTCGAATCTTCACTTGCAGTTGAGTGGCACATGTTCTCCATATGAGTTTAGTCCTTCCCTTTACCAAGAAGCAGGGCTGACTGTTTGGTTTCGGAAAAAAGTTGCTTCTCCCCCCCCTCCCGCGTTTGTGGTCTGGGTTTGAGCACATGGTGGGGCCAAAATGTGAACCCTCCCAAGAATCTTTTGCTTTGACCAGAGAAGCAGGTGGTTGTACACCCAAAAAGGAGATCCGACTTCCTGCTACTGAACAATTCTAAGGGGTGTGTCTTTTTTAGGGGTACCTGTTTTGTGCGGTTGTACAGGGACACCGAGACAGCGAAATCCACTTTGGGGGTGGCTCAAAAAAAGAGACAGACCCTCTTGCAGCCTCTGCTTTGGATCGGGTGAACTCCTGAGGGCCGCGCACCTGCAGCTCCCCTGAGTCGCCGCCTGCGCGCAGAAAACATCTCATCTCCCTGTCTCAACTGAGATCTCGGTGCATTTCGGGCATGCATAAAACGAAAATGAGCCCCTGAACCTGCTGGCTTGCCTTTGGTCTCACTGCCTCAGACATCAGCTCATTTGGGTGTGAGTTCAACTTTGGCTTTACAACGCAAAGGTTGGGCGGTAGCGGAGATGTTTTTTGAAGCCCACTGAAATTAAAAGAACCAAAAAAGACAAAACCAATGTACAAGTTTGAATTCAAACCTCCATATGTTCACCTTAAGGTTTTGGGCGTGGAAAAAGCAGTTGTTGAATTTGTGTCTTCAACTCCCGAAAACTTGATCGGCCTTCGTGTCTTGTTGCGCTAAGGGCTCGGTGCTGCAACCTCTCCCAAGTGGTTGTGTCTTTCTTTTCAGGGTGCCCCTTTGTTGGTGGTTGTAATGGGAAACCAAAAGGACACCCCCCATTTTGGGGTTCCTTACAAAGAGACACGGCCCAAGTTTCTTGGCGCCGTCTCGAACAGTGAATCATGCTCCTTACTGCATTCACCAACCCAGCTTGCAAATTCAGTCATGTACCCAACGGGACAGCTTTGGTGCTTTCCAACCCTTAATATTGGCTTGCAAAAAAACTGCCTGTTTTTTGCGGCCCCCTACAAAGTGAACAGAACCCAACAAAATGAAACAACTAAAAACATACCCCAAACAGTGAAGCCTACAAACAATTGCAAGTAAGTTCAAAGCCGTCCCGTGACATCCAGTTTCCTCACTGACCCTTCCCCTTGTTGGCCTTTGGCGGGATCTCCAATTGAAGCTGTTCCGGGTTTCCTTGCTGGTTGGTCCTTCTTGTTTCTGTGGGTCTGCCTCAGCTTCCCTAAAAGTGAGACTCACTTTTGGTGGGTCACATGGAAACCCAACCACTAAACCAACGAAAAAAAGCTGAAAAGCTGAGGAACCGCATGGCCGGGAGCAAGTTCTGTGGTTGCAACCAGCTTCAAGCCGCCCCCAACCGCCCCCAACCCCGCCAGCAAGGAGGTCGTAGATCTTCTCGTTGTAGATCTCCAGGTAGCTCGCAAGCACCGTGGCCTCCGAATCCGTCTCGCCAAAGAAAAATCTGAGCGCCAAATGCCGAATGCCCATAGAGCTGTGGGTGAAAAATAGGAATTTATGTGGGGAACCCTGGTAAATGGAAACAAGGAGTAAAATCTGCGGTCTCCTGGTGGTTTAATTTTGACCCACACCCAAATACCCATCGAGCTGCGGGCAGCTCTTTTTCTTAGGATTTGGACCCCCCAAACTGGATTTCGGCTTTTCCCTGTCGGTCATCCTTGAAATCACCAAAAAAAGGTATCCAAGAGAAACGGACGCACTTGTGGTCATGTTGACCCCGGATTCAGCAGAACTCCTGCTTGTTTCTTTTTGTTTTGGGGGGGGCTTTTTAGTGCAGAGTCAGATCACTTTTAGAGGTGCCCCCCCCTACTCTTGCAGGATGGGTTGGTTCAGATCACTTTTGGAGGTGCTTTACCGCCAATTGGATGGCTTCGACTTGGATCCGGGCTTGACTCTAACTTGTTGCTCCAAGAGTCACAGCCCCAACCAAACCTGAGACCAACCGTCACGCTGGAAGCCGCTGAAAGCAAGCGGGAACTCATAAAATTCCACCACAGAAGACCCGACTTCTGCCCAGGAAACTCATTCAAAGAATGGTCCAACGACAAAAAACAAGCCGTGCTTTGAAACCCCAAAAACAAAAACAAAAAAACATTCGGTTTTTTTTTCTCCACCCACCCACCCGCGCGAGAGGAGCGATCCGGGACCGTCTGCGAGCCGGCCTCGAAGCCCTCCTCCTTGCGCCGAGCATCCTGCGGCTTCGGCGCCGAACTTCCTTGGAGGAGGTGTCCGTGCTCAGCTGCCTTTGGTTGCTGTTGACTTCCCTGCAAAAAGTGTTTCACTTTTTCGGGGGTTTAGTTGAAAACCCCTTGCTTCCCCAAACAAGTCAAAGTCCAAAGATCCAAACCAATAGCAGTCAAGTGCAAGAACACGACTTCCCATCCCATCTCATCTCATCTCATCGCCAAACGCAAAACGGGGACATGGAAGCTCCAGCCAGGTCCAAGAAAGCTCCAGGCATGTCTTTCTTGTTAAGGAATCCCAGAGAGGCCTTTGGCATCCCTGCAAAAAAGAAAAGAAAAGCCGAGACAGTGCGCAAAAATCAAAAAAACACACTCAAATGGCAGTGGGTCAAAAATGGGCACCCATTTTGGGAACCCTGGCAAATGGAACCAAGGGCTAAAACCAAGATTGATTTTTGACAAACACATGGCTGTGGCTCGAAAAACCGGTACCAAAATGGGTTGCCCTGGTAAGTGGAAACATGGACCAAAACCTGCGGTGTGCCCCTCCGGTTTAATTTTGAGCCACACCGACATAGGGAAGGTCCTCTGAGTGATGTTGAGCGTGTCGTTATGGCTTCAAAAGGAGACCAAGCGGAAAAATGCAAAACGTGTTCCTTGGGGACGTGGAAGGGGGGGAGGTTCTCGGTTTGCTTTGATATTGATATTCTTGCAAGTAAAATATATGCTGCATTTGGACTTGGGGGAGAGAAAGAGAGCCATAGCTGCGCGTGCTGATAGGATGGAGATCAGCACATGATAAAACCAACACAGCCTGAACTTCCTCAACATCCATCACCGGGGGGCTCCTTATTGGCGGACATGTGCTTGTTGGCGGGGAGAACATGTCCACCAACTTTGCAGGTGGTTCCAACAGTTGAAATTCGTGGCCACTTAAGTTGGGTATGGGCCAAAATTAAACCATCAGAACACCGCAGTTTTAGGCCTTGGTTACATGTACCAGGGCAAGCAGACCCATTTGGTGCAAAACCCCCAACTAGGTTTTTTAGTGGAGAGGTTAGAATCAGGGTACCAACTTTTTTTCTGATTCGTCTATTTTAGTAGGGGAACCCTCCCAACCAACAAAAAGTGGGTACAAGTGGACACCTAGCTGGGGGACCTAGAAAAAGATGGCCCTAAATGGTGCAATCGAATCGAACCCAAAAAAGTTGGCAAAGGGCACCTGGCACCCGCTCCAGCATGCTGAAAAGCCGCGCGCAGGCGCGGGGCAAGATGCCCTGCTCCGCCTGGCGAAACCGCGAAAATTCCTCGCTTTCTGGCATTTTTCTGGGGCCCGAAAAGCCGGGATCCTGACAGTATACACCTGAGCATGGCTTTGTAAAGGGTGGCTTGGGCAAGATGAAAATCTTTTAAGGAGCCCTGAAAAAGGTACCTCACATCTACAGCGCCAGGTGACCCTTACAGCTCTCCACCTTCGAAATTTGTTTTTTCGCTTGCAGGAAAAATATGTCCAGTAGTGATAGATTCCCTTTAAAACCAACAAGGAAAAATTAAAACATCTTCTTAAGCAAATGGAAGCCATCCGCCATAGAACCTGACTGGGGCCTAGAAAACGGCGAAGTGTTCGCTGTTTCAGGGGGCTTGCTGGGGGTGCGGGTTTGAGCATCTCGCTGAGGAACTGTGATTCTAACGAGGAACCGTAAATTAGCTACCTGGAGATGACGGCACATTGCCGCAAACAGCTTGTGAGGCGCAAGCACCCGCAAACACCCGCAAACCGCTGCAAAAAGATGCAAATCCAACATGGACACCAAAACCGCCTAAAACACCTAGGCAGAAACCGGCCAGATATGACCTTTGAATCTGAACACACCCAATGAAGGCACCTTTTGCAACCCAGCCCGTTCTATGGGTTCGATGCTATGTCATTGTCAACGTTCACTCCTTATTCCCCGCAAGCACAAGAACGTCGCAAGGTGCTGAAGCTCGCCCCAGGCTTTGGGAAATGTGTGGGCCCCCTCTTTCCTTTTATTTCAATTTCCCGTGCTTCCCCAAAAAGCTGCCTTCGGGCCCAGATGCGCGCGTTGATTTGACGCGAGCCTCGTTGTGAACGTCGCCCATGATCGAGTGGCTCTTGCCCGAGCCAGTCTGTCCGTACGCGAAGATGCAGCCATTGTACCTGGAAGTGCTGGAAAGGAAGAATGCCCCTCCAAATTCACCAGCGGTTGGGGCATGGTGTCAACCTGTGACCAAGCAACATGGTATCCGCTTTGGAAAACAGGGGGGTCATGACATATACACTACACGTACTGGAGTAGGATCTTTGGGTGAACGCGATTCAGCAGTCAAAGGGACGTGAAGCAACAGCAGCAATCACGATCCAGACCGCAAAAGCCTATGGCTCAGCACTCGGCCAGCGGCTGCCAACGTGCGCGAACGGCTCCTGGGCCGCGCGGCTGCAGCGTGTGGCCGAACGCCAAAGGGACTGTGCGAGCACGGACCGTCTGCGGAAGCGCCACTCGACGCGGAAGAGCTTGACTCTTCCGCAGACCTTCGCTCAAGCCGAAAGCTGGCTGATTCGCGACGGCAGGCGCTGAGTTTAGGGGCTTCCTTGGACTAAGCCACTACTGGAGCGCCTCAAGGATGACGGCGTTTGTCACAGCCATGGGAAGGTCGCAACTTGAGCCGACACGCAAATGTTTTGAACCCTGTTGGAGAAACTGCGTGCAGTCGTGTATTTGAAGTGCCCTGAGATCAGATGAGTCACAACCAAGCCGGCCACCTTAGATCCGTGAGGGCCTCAATTATCAAGTGCTCCCCACTTAGCCCCTCCCCACCTTCAGATGAGTCACCACCAAGCCCCACAGAAAAAAAAACACACCCAACACCTTAGATCCACCACAAACTCAACTTTGTAGACTCGAAATATGGCGCCATGGCCGTTTCGCGCATTGAAACTGGCCGGGAACACAACCAAACACACGTGAAGCGAGTGCCTCTGGCCGGATCGCCCCCCAAATGCAAGTAATGGCCGTGTCCCTTCAAGCCAGGGAAACATCGCATCACCCAAAGCAAATTTCGACAGATCTTGGGCAATAAAACCAAGCGAAAGCGAAGGAAATAGATTAGGAAGTTCCAGATCATGCTTTTCAAAAAGCCAACAGGGGGAACACGGGCAATTTTAAAGCAAATGAATTTCCTCCAAGACCTACAATTGCGATTTGCCTTCGCGCAACAGCATCCCCATGGCACCCGTGATCTTGCAGGTACCCTCCCATGCCATGCTAGCGGGAGGAAAGTTGCGCATCTGCCGAAAGAGTCTGCTTGTGGCTTTGTTTGAATAGAATGCGGACCATTTCCTTGTTTGGAACGGTTTCCTCTTGATTCCCCTTCTAATAACTGGGGTCCTCAGAAGGGACAAACACGCTGGTGCGCTTCTGGGTACCAATCGCATCTTTAGACACAGCCTGAAACACCCGTGTCTGATCAGCTCGAGAACCGCCGATGGTCCACGCGTTCATGGCGTTGTCCAATAGATGGAGCCCGACTGCCTGGAACACCGCCTGGAGAACTGCAGTCTTGGAGGGCGCGTGCACAAAAGCCCTGAAGTCACTTTGTAGGGGGAAACTGGATGCAGTTGGAAAACTTGAGCATTTGCCCCCTCAGACGTCAAAACTGCGCGGCTACTTCATAGTTGGCCTTCCTTGCGATTTCCAGCAGAACGAAAGTGAAACCAACCAACCAACCAACCAACCAACCAACCAACCAACCAACCAACCAACCAACCAACCAACCAACCAACCAACCAACCAACCAACCACCCAACCACCCAACCACCCAACCAACCCACCCACCCACCCACCCACCCACCCATCCACCTACCCAACCAACCAACCAACCCACCCAAACCAACCCAACCAACCAACCCAACCCAACCAACCAACCAACCAACCCAACCCAACCCAACCCAACCCAACCCAACCCAACCCAACCCAACCCAACCCAACCCAACCCAACCCAACCCAACCCAACCCAACCCAACCCAACCCAACCAACCAACCCCACCCAGCCACCCAGCCACCCAGCCACCCAGCCACCCAGCCACCCAGCCAGCCAGCCAGCCAGCCACCCAGCCACCCAGCCACCCAGCCAGCCAGCCAGCCAGCCAGCCACCCAGCCACCCAGCCACCCAGCCACCCAGCCACCCAGCCACCCAGCCAGCCACCCAGCCACCCAGCCAGCCACCCAGCCACCCAGCCACCCACCCACCCACCCACTCACCACCCCGACCGACCACCAAACCAAACCGACCAACCAAGCGCGTGCCTCAATGGCCTCGCCGCTCCGCGACTCGTCGCGTCGCGCCTCCTGGGTGTCGGAGCTGGTGAAGACGTGGTCATAGCTGAAGGACTTGGGGAGCCGGGTGGCCTCCACTACCTGCAACGCGCCACGCGCAGAAACGGCCCGAAGGTCCCTAGGATGGTCACAAAACCGTTCACCCAAGGTTGGTCATCTGCGAACCGCTGTGGCAATCTTGCGGAAGAGCAATCTTACGGAAGAACCGTTTGTTTTTTTTGCCAAAAATGATGTTAGACCCCCTTGTTAGGATTCGCCGGGGCTGCCCGACCACGTCACAAAAAAGGGGCCCGGCTTAATTTACAAGGGCGAGGTAGCAGGAAATGCCCGCTGTCATACCGAGCATCCTCGACAATTCGCCACTTAATTCGGGCATTTCTTCCAACTGGCAGCGGCGTGCTAGGAAAATTGCCGAGAGGGTCTCCCTGCCCGATGCGCCGCAAGTCAAGAACAGTCACGGCCCTCGTGGAGAAAAGCCCAAAGTCCGGAGTGCTCAGTTGTTCAGTGACCCTGGAAAAAAAAGGGATCCCTTTTTGGGGCTTGGACCATTTTAGTGGGGCAGCCACCAAAAAAAAAGGGGAAAAAGGGAGCCACTGAACAGCTGAGAGTGTGGCAAGCAGAAAGCTTGGCCTGGCCTTGTGGGGGGGGTTTCTCCAAGCGCGACGAAGCCAGGTCCGAAGGACCGAACGCAGTTCAACTTCTTCGGGTTGCTTTCGCACTCGTTGGTGGGATCCACCAAAATTTAGGGATCCCTCGAGTTGGTTCTTTTGGTGACCGCGTTTGCCCGGATGCGGCGTTATTTGGAGGGGACCATGTTTTCCTTGTCTGCACTGTTCTTGGCTCAAAGCCAGTTGCAACAGTATTTGTTGCTGCGCATGGAGGAAATCCACTTCACCCCGTCGGAAGAGGACCCTACAAGTAAATTGGTTAAGCGCCTAGCCTACACATCAAATTGGTTAAGCCATCCGCAACGAAGGTTTCCTGAAGCCCAGTGCATCTTTTTGGCCACACACCTTGACCAGACTTAGACCCCCGCAAAAGTGTTTTTTTTGTTTTTCCGCTAGGTGAAAGATGAAATGATGCGAAATCATTGCAGCAACCATCGACCTGGAGATCCCCACGCGCCTGGACCTCATTCCCCGCGCAGGTGAGGGCATTGTTGGTGCCCTAAGAAAGCGGGAGCCTGGGCCAAGGTAGCCTGCAAAACTTCCTGCGTAGGGACCATGGGTATGCTTAAGGCCCCCCGCCCCCCCCTCCCCCCCCAAAAAAAAGGAAGAACATATAATACATTTACGCCGTGTTCCTTGCGCCCCTTTGCAACCAACCCACAGAAAGTTCCTCCCACAAAGGCAAACTCAGGGAACCCGCATGAGGAACCTTGTTTGGCTGCAGCGCCCAACTTGATGTTCAACAAAGAGGGGTGCGGATGGTGCGGGCCCTCAGCTCAAACTCGCGCACTCGAGCCGACGGCTGGACAAAACTCCTATGGCCGATTGGGGTCGCAGCCTTCGTAGGAATCATGACACAAGTGAAGGATCCCTACCTCGCTGGCTCAGTGGATGGCCCAAAAAAAGTAACCAAACTTTATATGTCCCACTAAAATGGCAACCAAGCCCAAAAAGCTTTTAAAGCTCATGAACTCAGTGAAGGATCCCTACCAGGTGGACGATCTCAACGTTACCCGTTCGTCCACCCGGTCGCAACGACCGTTGAGGGTACCCTTCTTTGGTGGCGTTAAAGCGTTGGACCAACGCAAAGCCGAAGCCATTTTGGGGGGTCCAACCAAAACAAGGACGAGCCACCCATATTGTTTCCAAGGGCCCGCAAAAATGGAATCCCACTTTTTTGAGCCACGGCCATAATATGTATATATATATATATATAAGATAAGCCTTCGAGTACATACACACCCACATATATGTGCACCATATATGTGTACATAAGTACATCTCTACTCTTGGCATGGTAGCAAAAAGCTGACTTTTTTTTGCAGACCCCCCCAGTAAACATGAACAGAACCAAAAAACTTTAAAAAAAAAAAAAAAAAAAAGTATAAAAAAAATTAAAACAAGAAAGAAAGAAAAAACAAGAGGAAACAACCAAAAACCCAAGAACCGTGAAGAGTATGTTTTGGTGCACATCAGCCCAAGCCTCCGAGTGCTCCTTGGGGTTGAAGGGCCGGCATCGCACGGCCACCCGGATGTGGTTGGCCTCGCGCTCCGGAAACGGAAGAGCTACCCTGCCACCAGCGAACATGGGTTTGTGCAGAGACCCTTGTAGAAAGACTACTTTCCTCTTGAACAATGTAAGCTCGGGCGATATCCCCAACAGCAACACACCCTCCCAGAATCCTTGCGGAACGCCCCGGGACCATCCTTACCGCCGGTGTTGCTGAGGATGCCGCCTTGTAACTTTCTAAAGCAAAGCTATGAGTGACAGCGCAATCTCGCCCTGATCGGGGCCCGACGGTGCAATCGGGGCCCGATCCGGGCCCGACGGTGCAATCGGGGCCCGATCGTCCCGTGGTGCAACCCCAGCCACCAATATTAGAGCTCAACGCCGTCAGCGTGAAACTTTGTTGGAACCTTTCCTCAGGGCTGCCCCATATAGCTTTTGCAGAACCTGGTGGAACCTTGTGGAACGTTTTTGGAACCTTACCTCATAGCCCTCGCAGCCTCGTGGAATTCTTGGAAGCATCTACTCTGCTGCACCGTGAGTCCCGCAGCGACGTGATCTGATTTGCCACAAGCCAAACAGTGAAAGTGTGCTGACAACAATTGGCTTCGGTTTTGCTTAGTGTTCCGCCCATGAGCAAAGCGATCTTCTGAGCCCTCAATTTACTGCTCCGGTGACACATTGCTTCTTCGCAGGGAATGTTTTGTGGAGCCTTGTGGAGCTTTGTGGAACTTTTCTGGAATCTGTGGAACCTTGTGAAACCTTACCTCAAAGCCCTCATGGAACCAAACCTTGCAGAACCTTGCTCCACCCCGCAGCCCTTGCAGAACCTGGTGAAAATCTGGTGGAACCCGGGTGGAACCCTGGTGGAACCCTGGTGGAACCTTATTTTAAACCACCCCGGACAACCCCGCAGCCCTCGCAGAACCTGGTGGAACCCTGGTGGAACCCTCGTGGAACCTTACCTCAAACCACCCCGGACCACCCCGCAGCCCTTGCAGAACCTGGGTGGAACCCTGGTGGAACCCTCGTGGAACCTTACCTCAAACCACCCCGGACCACCCCACAGCCCTCGCAGAACCTGGGTGGAACCCTGGTGGAACCCTGGTGGAACCCTCGTGGAACCTTACCTCAAACCACCCCGGACCACCCCGCAGCCCTCGCAGAACCTGGTGGAACCCTGGTGGAACTCTGGTGGAACCCTGGTGGAACTCTCGTGGAACCTTGCCTCAGGGCCGCCCCGGACCACCCCGAACCCTATCTGGGCTGAGACCCCAAAGCTTTCAGCTGTCGGGGAAAAAAGACCACCTGACTAACTCAAGGAGTTAGTGGCTTGTTGCGTAAATGTGATTCGCGACTTTTCTCGAAATGGCAGACCCCTTTTTGGTAGGTATTGAAAGGGAAACCAAAAGGAGACCCATTTTAGGGGACACCTATAAACCCCCATTCAATTTCTCTAGGTGACCTACAGTGACAACTGGGCTTCCACTGGGATGGGCGGATGGGCTGGTGACACCAGGCGTATCGGGTGGATTGCCTTTCCAACGGGTGTGCGATGGCACGTAAAGGATTCCTTTTGCCAATGGTCCTATCCGGGCAAATGTCTATTCACAAACTGAAAGAATGACATCACTAACAAAAGGACGGAGCTCGTCGTACCGGTGAGATCTCCATGACTTGCCGAGGTTCCCCGATCATTGCTCAGAGAAAAGTGTTATTGTCTTCTTTGGCCAAACCTTGTGGGTGTCTTGAAAATAGATGGGCTGGCAGTCGGCGGGGAAAAGGACGTCTTCCCTCGGGGCGTTTCATCAGTTCAGGCGTAGACGGTTAATTCATGCAAGGTGAAATCTGGGAACTTCCAGCGAGGAACTTCATCATGGCTGAAATCGGTTTCAATTCAAAAAACTTTGCGACGTCGCGATTTCATTTGAGACCTTTCCACGTCCCATTTTGTTGCTGGGACGTGACTTAGACAATATGAGGAATCTCCAAGTAGGAATGTACAAAAAAAAACGTGGCATAGCTCTGATTTTGGACCCAACAGGGATCTTGCCATGCTACCAAAGCCGAGCGAATTTCGCCAAGTATGCTTAGAGCTCGCCCTTGTTATAAGGTATACATTTCTATTCGTTGTGTTGCTGAACCCCGAAATAATAGAAACACACCCAAACCCTAGAAAGACTTGCGCCAGACTCAGCTCGCCTCGTCACCAGCCATGCTCCATGGCCCCTTTGCCACCAAAGCTGAGAGGGGTCTCCACTCCGGAAAAGCGGTTTCGCCTGACTGGCCCAAATCACAACGTCTCAGTTGCTTTCTGCTCCCCTGTCAAAAGTGACTCACGTTTAGTGGCTTCATGGGGACACCCCATTAGTTGGCAATAAGTTAAAGTCCTAACATCCAAGCAAAATACACCAAAGAGGTGTTCAAAGCTTAAACTTTCTATGTTTGCCAGCCACCAGACGAAGACAACCAAAAAGTTCAAAGACAAAGACAACAAACGATTTTGGACAAGCCAGCTTTGGGTTGCAAGAATTTCCCACAAGCATCCCAAGTGCCATTTTTGGATGTCCTTGTTTGACTTCCCCTACCAAGCACAAAAAGAATACCCTCAAGAAAAAACTCTGTGGTTAAAGCCTACAAACATCTCCAGCCACCAAAAGGACACTTTTAGTGGGGACTCTCAAATAGTAATAGGGTGCTTTCCCACAAAAGGCAAAGGAGAGAAAGGTCCCAAAAGGAGTCACATGATGTTTCAACACAAACAACAGCCGCTTACCATCATAGTCCTTGTGTTACTTGCTGAGGGTTGTTGACGTCTCGTCCGCCAATGGAAAGTGAATTTTGAAGCACTCACCATGTCTTGGTGGCTCTTGAAGCTGCTGACTGTCCAAATCAAAAGGTTGTCAATTCCGACAACCGTGTTTCCGATGGTTTTGTTCCCCTTTGTGGGGGTTTGTGTTGAAGGGAAACTCCTTGGAACGTCACCCAGGTTGGGGTTATTTCTTAAGACACGCCCCAAAAACCGGCTTTGGAACTCGGCCATGGAACCGTTGCCCATTCCACCTGTCACAGCCAGTCCTACCTGGAGCCACAAGAGTCGTCGAACCGTCGACCGCCCGAGCGGCGATTCGCCCAAGGAGTCTTCCCCACGGGGACCCCAACAAGCTGCCATCCGGCTTGGCACTTGGCATGCTCCCCTTTTGGAATTGAACCATCTTTGTGCCTCTTTTGGGTTGAAACTCCGCCCCTTGCCCGCGTCCATAAGCTCCCAGAGGCCTAACCCGCCTAGAAAAAACCCTTCGGCAGTGCACCCTGCGATTCGGGGAGTTGATGACCCGTGCTTGGAGACTCCACGAAGGAAGCTCCCTCTCTGTTCCTCTTTAAAAACAAACCCATCCGGGGGTACCAACAACATCCAGATTTTCTGCTTCTGAGTCATATTATGTAGCCTACCCCAAGATGTAAAACAGTCCCCCAAAAGCAAACTCTGACGCACGAAAAGTTTTGACCACGCTCACTCCGTTCGCAAAGGCTGCTTCTGCATCTCTGTCCTCAGTCGCGTCTGCAACTAGGCGAACTCAAGCAGGGACAAGATCCCCTGGCTAGAACAAAGGCCAAGGGAAAGGCTGCTTTTCTAAAAATGGTGAACAAACAAAATTGAAAATGGATCATAGATGGTTGATGATTGACATGTGCCTCTTCCATGATTGGAGTTAGGCCCGATTGCAGTACACTGTACGTGCTGCCTAATGCATGCTTCAGTTTGGCAGTCGCACACAACTCGGTTGCTTTCTGCTCGCCTGCTAAAAGTTTAACTTTTAATGGCTTAATGGAAAACCCATTAGTTGGCAAAAAGTTAATGTCCTAACATCCAAGCAAAATGCAACAAACAAAATGTGCATCTCGACAGTGACATGTAGAGACTCTTAAACCAACGAGGCTCCGAGATGGGCTTCTGACGGCCAAAAACAGTGGAGGCCAACGGGCAAAATTTGAAGTGGTCAGCAGTCATTACCATTCTCAGTTGCCCAGTTTGAACCCTATTCTTAGTTTGCGGTGTAAGCCAGAATCAGCAGCTTGAGCCTTTTTCAGTTGGAACGAACGGAAACCCCTTCGCACGTGTTCAAAGGACCGAGAAGATTTCACAGTGATCACCTATTGGGTCACGACAAAAACGGGAAACAAAAGGTCAAACGGTCGATTTACTTTGGGCAAGTGAGCATTTCTATTCCCACCACTTGGAGGGGGGGACTTGACCTTGGACATTTGCTTTGTGCCCACAAAGACAAATCTACGCATACATTACTTGCGAGACCCATTCTTCCATTTGCTTGGATGCTAACAAAAAACTACTCAGAAGCAAAACCAACAAGAAAACCAATTTTGCAGGGACCCTTTATGGTCTTTTGCAGCCCACGGAAAACCCCTGTGGCGACTTGGTTAACCAAGAGGAACCCAAGTAATTTCCACTTCGGACTCTCATCATGTGATTTCTACTTTGGGTCCGCTTGTAGTGGTTGGAACCAAGTCAGACTCGGGCTTTCTCCGGTAGACTTCTGGAATCTGGTTCTGGTCAACCCGTGCTACGATCCCGAACCCTCCCTTTCTAGGTCCTCCACTAGAGAGGTTACAAGAAGGGCACCCGACTTTTTTCCCCTGTAGTCTAGTTTGGTTGGGGTGAGCCCTCCCCCCAAAAACGTCGGCAAGGGACCTAGAAGATGTACCTGGAGTCTCCTTCTGACCCTCAAAAAAAGTCAAGGTGGACCATTTTCTGGCAGTTTCTGGCAGTTTCTGGCAGTTTCAGTCAAGGACCTATAAAAGCAAAGCTCCCTTCCCCCATACCGCACCCCCCCCCCGGAACAAAAGGGTGGGCAAACGGGCACCTAGCCGAAAAACCTCGACTTTGTATCTACGACTAAAATGGCAACCAAACCCAAAAAGTATAAAGTCCGAAACGGAGCTCAGGAAGTGAGCTGTAGCTACACCCAGTCTTTCCCTTTGTAGGAGCCCTGGGGGACCTCCCTTTGGAGCCAGCCCCATCCCGACCGAGGCACAGCATCCCGCAGCCCTCTCGCAGCTCCGGGGACACCGGCCCTGCGCGGCGGCTCTCTCTGAACCAAGGCGGTGTTCGGACTGAACGGAAGGAACGCCCCCCCAAAAAAAACAAACAAACACAGAAACGGCTCGCTCCATGTCAACGTGTCGTTGGGTTGGAGGGTTTGGTTGGTGTTGGAAGGAATCCCAAAAAAAACGGCTCCATGTCAACGTGTCGCTGTTTGAAGAGTTGGTTCTTGAAGGGAAACTGATTTTGTTGAGGGTTTTGGTTGGTTTTGAAAGGGAAACCAAAAGGAAGAAAAACAACTTGTTGGGAGGGTCCGCTAAACAAGTCCTAAAAGGAGACTCCTCTACAAACGAGGATTTGTTGGGTTCCGTCTTGCTATTCTAGTGTCGGCAGTAGTCGGCAGCTCTTCCCGGAGCAACCTTTTGTGGCTTAAGGGGCCAAAGGTTGCGCCGAAGACAAGCCATGCAAGGAACCCCTCCTACTAATAGGGAAAAGCGGGGGTTGTCACTGAAGGATTCCCAATTAAAAGGACACGCACACACACAAACACCTACCAGTCAACCGGTCCGGGTTTATTCGTCCGGGTTGACACCACCACAACAGGCCTCTAGGTTTTACATCATGGTTTCCCCCGGTTGCTTATTGTATGGGTACCTGGAAGCACTGGGCATACTACACGTTGAGTGGAGAGCTCCTTTGAGCGAAAGCCCTTCACTTGGGGATCCATTGCTTTCGGTGCAACTGTAGGCGAGCGGACCCCTTGGATGAGTTAGGAAACAAAGGACACCACCCACCTGCAGGTTGTTTACCCGCTGTTTCCACAGGGTGTTCCCAAGGTTTCCCACAGGTTTCCCAAGGTTTCCGTGGGCGTCCCTTGAATTTCCACGTCGATTGCCTGGAGGGGATTCAATTTGAGAAACACCCATCGTTGAGATTGAAGTTGATTTCCCATTTCTGACCTTTGGCTTGTAAATCTGGGCGCGCTATTTTGGTGCTTTGCCGTCACACAAGGGCGCTTGGTCCGAGTTTTCTTAGGGCAGAGTTAGCCTGACATGTTTTGAGTTGTGCGCACAAGGGGCTGCTTTTCTCACGTATGGGATGTTTTCCAGATGTTTTTTTATTTGCCACCCATAGAACCCACTTGGCTCACGGATTGGGGTTGGCCCAAATTTGTTCCTATGGTTTTGGTATGGTAGAAAAGCTATGTTCGGGTGCTTCCTTTAATTCCTTGTTGCAATACCTTGACCCCTGCTCAGTTCCCATGCTCTTGGTACACGGTTGTACTTACTATCTTGGGGTGGATCAATATTCCCATGTGGTGAACGCCATCCTTTTTGGTGGTTTCCCTTGGCCCTGTCAAAGTCAAAAAATCCTTACAGGAAAACCTAGACTAGACAACCTGAGAAAACACCCTGGCTGGGTGCGGGCCCCTAGCCTGACCTGAGCTTTCTGGCCAGCAAAAGGTGTTAATTTTGGGCACTGATCAAAATGACGAAGAACCCCGCCAACCAAAGCTCGAAACGATCTCCGACCTAAACAGGTAGGCGTTTTCAGAGGCACTCTTTCATGTAGCAATTACCTCCGAGGTGCCCAGTGTTCGCCCATGTGACCTTTCGGTGAGTTCCATGCATGGTGCGAGGTTTATGTACTTACATATAGACTCTCCTTGTCTGTGTGGGGAAGTCCTCGTGGCTGGCAAGTTCGGGTACGAGGAGACTCGCCAAAGAGCCCTACTTCAGCTGAAGTTGAGGTCTTTAATCAAACCACCAGGGCTCCAAACAAGGGAATTCCCTAAAGCCTGAAAAAGAACTGAACTATGTAACAGCCAACCGGCATCCTTTAAGTCCCGTCCCGGACTCCGCCAATTTTCTCGCTCGCCACTTGCACGCGAAGTTCGTCTCAGCAAGGCTCAGGCGAAGGTTCGCTCAAGGCTCGCAGCCTCTGCGAGTGGGTACGGTGGATATTTCCTCCAACATGCGCAGGGTACAAACTTGAGCCCAACCTGCCTGTTGTTGTCTTTTTTTACAGGATCCCCTGAAAGGGTGGTTTTGCTATTGGGTTCCCCCAATAGAAAGCAACAAAGGGTACCCTCAAACCAGGCACACCCCTTTGTTTAACTCCCCTGCACAAAATACACAAATATGTCCAGTAGCGCTAGATTCCATGTAAAACCAATAGGGGGAAATGGGACATGCTCTGAAACGCACATGAAACAAAACAAGCTGGGGAAAACGGGAGGTGTTTCTCAGGGAAGCTCGCGAAATGACAGGTGTCTTGAAAAGTAAAAATGGCCGAAAGGAAACAAAAAGGGTTTTGAGGATTGGGAAGGCTCGGAGTTGTCCGTGTAAAAAAGACTGCAATATGGGGAAGGTCTTTTTTGAGGGGACCCCAAGTGTAATATGAAACCAAAAGGAAGCCAACCAATTGGGGGGTCCCCTATTCATACTTAAGGAGTCAGCCGTTGGTCAGGCCAGCGCCAGCAAGTATTGGAGTTTTTTTGGTCGTGCTTACTGGGTAAGCTGCCATCTGGAAAGTAAACAATTGCCCGACCTCTTTTGGTATTCTTCGCGGGGAAGTAAAGAATCCGGATTTGATGGGGCAATTGAGAGTCTAAACCAAGATTGAACTGTTTGGCTGACTAAAGTGCAAAGTTTGGAAACTGAAGAGGCATTACCGGGAAACCAGGCATAGGTGAGCTTCTGGCAATATAGATGGCCCTGGTAAAATGTCTTCCAAGGCAGCAAACTTTACTTGGTTGCTCTGCAAAAAGTGTGACTTTTTGGTGGGTCCAATACGGAGAAAACACTGTTTCCCAAAAAGCTCAAGCTCCTAGACACAGCCAAAACGCCTCAAAGCTTATAGCGCTTGCCACAATTCCCTGGCATATTTGTGTTTAAATTAAACCATGGCGCATGTGGTCTTCGGGATCATACCACTCAGGGTTACTGTTGCTTAAAGCTTCAACCAGTGGTGATACTCAGAGCTTTGGTGGATTCCTTCCTTCCCCTGGCGTGCATTTGGGGATTTGAACCCTTCCTGTCGAAACCGACAGTCGCTGGTGCCGGTTGAGTTTCCCTTAGCACTTCAATCAGCTTCCCCCCAATTGGCGGCTTGGAGCCAAATCGGTTTGGTGGTGGAAAAGGAGGGGGATTTCTCGTTTACCCTCTGCAAGAAGGGGTTCAAATGCCACACCGCCGGGCTCCAAACCACCAACTAGGGAGTGCCTTGAATTTCAAGGCGTCAAGTTTGGCAAAGCTTCCCCGAAACTGACCACCAATATGTTTGTTTGCCTTCACAAGAAATCCACCCGAATTTCTCTCACTCCCCCCCCTCCCCTCCCCAGGCGCCGCTCCCCCCACCACCTCCCCCAAAAAATGGAGAAAAGAGGGGGCCTGGGGGGAAGAGGGAGGAGTGTTGGGGTTATTGGGTCAAATGTTGTTATCCAACGTATTAACACCCTTGTTTGATTTCTTCCTATATTTTGTTGTAGGGTGTTAGGGGTGGATTTTCTGGGGGCCGACATTTTTTTCATTTGAAAGAGGTAGCCCTTTTAGTAGTTATTATGTTCTGGGGTGTTGGTGGTTCATTTGTTTATTCCTATTCTTGTTCAAAGTCACTTGTTGTTTCCATGTAATCTCTCACAGTATCGTTATTGTTTTCTTGACCTTTCACTCTTAGTTGGTGCTTACTTGTTTGTTGGTGTTTTTTCATTTTGTATTTTCCTACCGTACATTTACATAAAGGACATTCTACTTTCAATTGGTTATAGTCTTTCTGTTCTTCATTTATGTCTTCTTTGTTCTTTTCTCTATATTCCTTTGATTTTTGCTTTATTTCGTCTTTATGTTTTTCACGATAAATCTTGTTCTTTTCCAGTATAGTGTCTTTGTTATTCTCTCTATATGTCTTTTTCTTCTCTACAATCTGCTCTTTGTTGTTTTCGTAATACTCCTTTGACTTTTGCTGTATTTGTTCTTTGTGTGCTTCTCTATACCGTGTTTGCTCTCCAAGCATACATTACATTGTTTTCTTCCTTCGTTGAACTTTTCTAACAATTGAAAGACTTTACATTTGGAACATTGCTTTTTGTCTGTCATTGGTCTCTATATGTTTAAGGGGTTATTTATTTAGATAAGTTTAAGGGGTTTTATAGGTTAAAAGTTCAGTATAATTATAACATATAAGATTTTACATGTTATTATTATATTATGATTATAATTTCAGTTCAGGATAATAATCTAATTGGTTTGTCTTACTTCTTTCATACATCATTTTAAAAATAATATTAACATCTCTCACTGTATTCTGAACATTAAACTTTTTACTTTCAATAAATAATTTGATATTTTCTTTAACATCTTCTCCTTTCTCTTGACTATAACCCAACATCCATAATATATCATAAATCATGTCATATTTTTCTTACTGATTTTAAGAAACTGTTTAACATAATCGTAAGGTGGTATTTTATTTACAGTTAGAAATATTAAAATCTCATCTTCTACATTTCTATTATTTATTCTTTTTATTCCCAACAGACATTTGATTAATTCTTGATAATATCTCCAATTTCTACAATTTGTACATATGTCTTCTTCACCATCCATTGAATAATTAATAATATTATTCACTATTTCATTAGGCAAATTCAATTTATACAATTCCATATTTTCTTTTTTGAAGTGACAACAATCATAGCATTTTTGATCGATATAATTATTGATTCCATCACCGTTCATTTTTCTCTTAATATATAAGGTAATATTTCTTTAAGTAGTTTTGGCTAGGGGGTTGCTGGTTGATGTGACAGACCACATGTCTGATGTGGCAGACCACATTTCTGATGTGACAGACCACATGTCTGATGTGACAGACCACATTTCTGATGTGACAGACCACATGTCTGATGTGGCAGACCACTTGTCTCATGTGGCACACTCACGATGTGAATCGTTGTTTTCTTCTTTTTAATAGGAGCAGTAGTTTTACACACGCATTTGTCAAATGTGATTTCAAGCCTCTCATTTGTGATGTACCACATTACATTTCTGATGTGCGACCTGACAGCTTGTGTTCTCCAGAGACCTGACGTTCGGTGAAAACAGCAACAGCGTGTTGAATTGTTGCTTTGCCCGACATATTGCAATACCTGACATGCTTGAGCCAGTCAATCTGTTAATTGTCATTGGTTACTTTCTTCGTGTCGTCTCGCTTACCTCTACGAGACTGACTTCTACTAGGTTCGACGGCGGATGGGTTGAACTATTGTGTTTGAAGCCTTTTTTTTTCCTGTGTCCCTTCCCTAAAATAAACAAACAAATATATCACTAATCAAATCAGTAGGAATTTTGTATACCCACCATGTAGGTTTGAAGTAGTCAATGATTTCAAGAGTTTTTAAAACGATACTATTAGCATAATCAATCTTACGGACACCAGTAGTTTTAGCACGACTGTATTCAGTACATGGAGGAGATGCCCAAATAAAATTGAAATGGTTTCTGTCAAACTGTTTGTAGTCCCATTCAAGTATATCACAATTAATATCCGCATTTTTCAAATCCAATGATATTACATTATAACCGAGCGACTTCGCCACATTACCAACTGAAGAAGTGCCACTAAATAGTTCTAATAAGTGCATGTATTATTAGAACTATTTAGATATTAATATTTTTGTTTATGTATCGTGTGTGTTTCTCGCTTTTCTCGTGTTTTCTAATATCACTTTTTCTAACAACACTACCACACTCACACTCAATAGGTTCTTTTCGTTTTTCACTAATTGTTTCTTTGTTTTGGTGGTAGTATTCATTACTTTTCTTAGATATATGTTCTTTGTTTTTTTCTGAGTATTCCTTTCTCATTTGCTGATAGTGTTCTTGATTGTCTTGTTTCCATTCATTGATGGTTCTTCCAGCAACACATCTATTAACACAGTCAGTATTTTTGATATGATAACCCTCCTGTTTCAGTAATTGTTCTCGGTTTTCACATGGATAATTTTCTATTAATTCAATCTTACAATTGTCCATTCCATATTCATCAAACAATAAACGACAAGTTGTTTTAGTATTCCATTCCTCTGCTTTCTTATGATTTTGCCTATGTCGTGCCATTCTTTGACTTAAGTTCTCGCATGTGCTTCCTATATAGCATTTGTTATAACCTATATCAGTTATTCTATAAATCTTCGCATTTTTGTATTTACTACTTTCCATCTTGTACTATCATAAACTATCTTCTTTTTAACGCAGTTTGTAATGGCCGTAGGGTAAAGAAGTAAAGGCATCTAAGTAATGTCTATTATTTTCAAAATTACTGAGAGATTGCTTAACTTGAGACATTGAGAATAACTGATGGTTGCGACTACGAATAAAATTATATGTTATTTCATGCTTTTTGTTTTGAAATAATGCTTCGTGATAGTTTTGATACGACAGTTCTTTCTTCACCTTATGTTTCACTACACCTTTTGATTTTTTATGTTCATCATCCTCGCCATGGATTGTAAAAGCATATGACTTGGGTTTGAGTGCTATGAATTTGGTAATTACTTTTCCGTTGCATTCATCCTTGAAATAACCGAGTTTTTCTTATTTGTTTTATCGTGGCATGGATGTTCTACTGGATAATCGCTAAAGTCCATATATTGACTTAATTCTTTGAAGTCCTTATAAACATCATCAGTCATTGTTTGAATTACATAACTGTCAGTATCAGTATATATCAATTTGATATTTTCATTATACTTCTTTTTCAATACATCATAGTAAAACTGATACATATGCAATTTGCTTAAATCTAAAATGCTCATTCCTAGGAAAATCGGTTTGTCCAGTTTCAGTTTCGCTTTAGTCTTCTCCACACCTACAAGATTTTCATTTATTATAAATCTACTTTTGAATGTTGGATTATTCACACATTTTTCATATCTAA